TTAGTGCTGGTCTCTTTAAATGAATTTGAAAGAGGTCTTCCTCTTTTCTTTTTCTGGAATAAATTGAGAAAGATTGGTGTTAATTTTTTTGGTTTTTTAATGTTTTATAGACTTCATCACTGAAACTATCTGGTTCTGGTTTTTTGTTTGTTGGGAGGTTTTTGATACTGATTTAATCTTTTTAGTAATTGGTCTGTTCAGATTTCCTATTTTATCAAAATTCAGTTTTGGGAGGTTATATGTTTCTAGGAATTTATTCTAGGTTGGCATAAATTGTTTATAGTAGTTTCTTGTGATCCTTTGTATTTCTCTAATATGAGTTGTAATATCTTTTTCATTTCTGCTTTTGAGTCCTCTTTTTTTTTTCTTGGTGAGCCTAGCTAAAGGTTTGTTGATTTTTTTATCTTTTTAGAGAACCAGCTCTTAATTTAATTGATCATCTCCATTGTCCTTTTAGTCTCTATTCCATTTATTTCTGCTCCAATGTTTGTTATCTCCTACCTTCTACTCACCTTGGGGTTTATTTGTTCTTCATTTTTTTAGTTCATTGTGGTATAAAGCTTTGTTGTTGATTCAAACTTCTTGTGTGTTAAGGTAGACATTTATCATTTCCCTCTTAGAAATGCTTTTGCTACATCTCACAAATTTTGGTATGTTATATTTTCATTTTCATTTGTCTCAAAAGTTTTTCATTCTTATTTTTTAATTTACTGGGGTGACATTAGTTAATAAGATCATATAGATTTCAAGTGTACATTTCTATGATACATGATCTGTATATTACATTGTGTGCCCACTACCCAAAGTCAAATCATCTTCTGGAAGTATTTTTTATTTATCTTTTAATTTATTGATCCATTTGGTTATTGTGTAGCATGTTGTTTACTCTCCACAATGTTTGTGAATTTTCCAGGTTTTTTTAATATAATAATTAATTTCCAGTTTTGTACCATTGTGGTTGATACGATTTCAGTTTTCTTACATTTATAAGACTTATTTTGTGGCCTAACATATGATCTAGCCTTGAATATGTTTCTTATACACTTGAGAAAAATGTGTATTCTGTTGCTTTTGGACGGAGTATTCTATATATATCTTTTAAGTCATTCTGTTCTAACAAGTAGCTTGAGGCCAATATTTCCTTATTGATTTTCTGTCTGGATGATCTTTCTATTGATGTAAGTGGGGTATTAAAATTTCCTAATATTATTGTATTGCTGTCTAGTTCTCCCTTTAAATCTGGTAATATTTGTTTTATAATTTAGGTGGTTCTGTGTTGGATGCATGGATATTTATAAATGTTATATTCTCTTGTTGGATTGACTCCTTTTATCATTATGTAATACCCGTCTCTGTTATTACAGTCTTTGTTTTAAAGTCTATTTTGTCTATTCTAAATATAGTTACTCCAACTTCATTTTAGAACACCATTTTTTTTATAATCCTCACCTGAGGATACATTTATTGATTTTGAGTGAGAGAGAGGAGAGAGAGGAATATTGATGTGAGAGAGAAACATTGATCAATTGCCTCCCGTACATGCCCTGACCAAGGATTGAACCCGCAGCCTTTTGGTGTACAGGATAACACTCCAACTTTTAAAATTTTACAAATAAAATTTAAATAGGAATTGCACTTCATGTTATTTTTATTTATTTTAAAAAAAAATTTTCTTTATTGATTTTACAGAGAGAGGAAGGGAGAAGGAGAGAGATAGAAATATCGACGAGAGAGAACATCAGCTGGCCGCCTCCTGCATGCCCCTCACTGGGGATCAGGCCCACGGTCTGGGCATGTGTCCTGCCTGCTAATTGAACCCTCTTGGTTCAAGGATCAATGCTCAACCATTGACCCACACTGTCCGGACTGCACTTCATATTTAAAGAAATTATTTACAAAGTGATTGTGTTGCCCTGGCCGGTTTGGCTCAGTGGTTAGAGCATCGGACCAATGAGTCGCAGGCTTGATTCCGGTCAAGGGTAGGTACCTAGGTTGCTGTTTGTCCCCAGCCTTGGTCAGGTTATGTGGGAGGCAGCAAGTTGATGTGTCTCTCTCACTTAGATGTTTCTCTTCCTCTCTTTCTCCCTCCCACTCTATCTGATAATAAAGAGAAAAATATCCTTGGGTGAGGATTTTAAAATAATAATAATAACAACAAAGTGATTTTGTAGGAAATTTTTAGTTTTAAGTACTTGATGGTCTATTACTTGGACTTTAACTTTTTCCTAATCATGGCATTTTAGCAAGATGGTAGACTGATTCCCAACTTCATTTAGTAACTATTACTTCAGAGTAAAGCAGCTCTGGGGCTCACAGGCTAGTGGGACCTGGTGAGGGGGTGGGGGGTGAGTTTGAGGTCCAGAAGAGAATAAGACGGAAAATTCTATGGGGCAGTTATCAGCTTGAGTCATCAGAAAGAGCTGTGCCTGGGGGAATGAGGTAGGGGTCGAGGTGGGGGTGGGGTGTTATTCCAGAGCATTGTAGAGGTTGCTTCCATTGTTTTGGTGTTAATTCTAGCAGCCTGACCTGGGCTCCAAGGATGAGAGGCAAGGTATAAATTGGCAATGGAAAATAATTAATTTAAAGGAACTCCAGCAGCCAGAGAGAGGATTAACAAAGATTATATCTAGAACAAGTGACTTCAGTGAAATAAAACTATTGGAAGAGATAGATGACAAGTTTAACAAGCAAAACAAATAAATTATCCTGAGATACTCAAGAGAGACAAAGTGATGTGCTGCTAATCATAGCATAAAAGAATTAAAAAGTGAGGGGGAAACTCTTCTGTATATTAATTTGTAGAGAGGATGATTATTGTTGAGACTCAAATTCATGGTCTGAGACATTAAGTAGAGTATATCAAAACAAAAAAATATCAACAATAAAGATAAAAATACAAGAAAATAATTCAAGAAAAGAAATAAAGTAGAAAGAGCACTTGAGATGCAACAACTGAAGGTATAATGGAGAATTTCTCTGGTTTAAAGGAAGATTGAAAGAGCCTGCTGAGTTCTAAACTAGAGGGTTGGGGGTGGTTCAGAGACAAAGAACAGGCTGCTTACACATGAAAAATAATTGGATATGAACAACTCAGTGTGACACTGGAAACCAGAAGGTAGTAAAATAACATCTACACTGCAGATCACTAAGAAAAGAACTGTACCTATTCCTAGCCAAAATATCATTCACTTGTTGATATTTGCAGGTATGCAGGAATTAAAGTCCTCTATTAGATAGAGGGAAAGTTCTCAGTAAAGGATTCTCACCAAATAATTTCCAACAGAGACTTTAAGATGGGCCAGAAGAGAGAAAACAGCGGTGAACAAATGAACCTCACGGTGTATTTTATTAAATATAAATGGGTAGTGCTATAGAGTGACTGTTATTTCAGCACATCCCTTTGTCCTCTGCAGTTCCTGAAAGTTTGCAGCTGATCCAGAAGCTTAATTAGACTATGTTCTTGTCCCTAAGGCAAGACCAAAACTATTATTCTGTTCTTTTAGTGGGAGGCATATAATTTCTCATTGTCTGTTGGTAAAGATAACAGCCATTAATATTCAATTCTAGATCCAATAATTCATTAAGGTTGCACAATGTTGATATTCTATCATTGTTTTTCATTTATAGCTAAAACACATATATATAGATGCATCCCTTTCTCTTTGGTTACTCAGTGATATAGTTCATATAGAGAAGGCAAGATAAATGTTGATTTTCCCCTTTATCAGTTTACAAGGTAATGAATTGGTTCTCTATTGCCTTTTGGGAGTTGGGGGGAGTGTATCATTATAAACTTGTATAATTCAATATGTATGATAGCTTTCAATCTGTTACAATTATCTTTATTGGAGCTCAAATTGTCTCATTTTTGGCTAGTGGGAGCAAAGATGGTTCCTGGATCCTTTGACCATGACTCTGATCATCTTTGACTGGTAAAGAAAGGAATAGTATTTTTGTTTGGTTTGGTTTGGTTTTGCTTTGATAAAATAATTTCAGAATGTTGTCTGTTCTTTTGCAAAGGTGGATTTCAGGGATCCATTCATTTCCTTGGATATTTGGTACTTATTATGAACTCTGATATAATTTGTAGGCAGATATGTCTTAGAATTTGTGTTATTTGCAAAGACTGATGGTTTTATTTTAATCATTATTTCCCAGCAACAGGTGTAGAGTCATGAGTTAAAATGGTTTATTCAGTTAAAAATTTGAATGCTGTCCTGGCCGGTTTGTATAGTGGTTAGAGCATCTGCCTGCAGACTGAAGGGTCACAGGTTGGATTTCCGGCCAAGGGTACATACCTGGGTTGGAGGTTCAATACCCAGCCCCATTCTGTGTAAGGTATCTCGCCAAGGAAGAAAGAGAAACAGAGCAGCAAAAGCGGTCAAGAAAGTTTTATTGAACTTTCTTGGGGCGAGTTTCACTGGTCCACATGGTGGGGGCCGGGGAAGTTGCCCTGCTACTTTTGTCCAGGGAAGATTCATAGGGACCTTAGGGACCTGGTGGGGTGATTAGGTGTGGCTAGCTGCTGGGGAGATTCAGGTGTGGCATATGTTGATTGGCTGGGAAGGGTGGTGGGACATGACCAGGAGTGTCCCCTCAGCTGCATCCCAGTAAGGCGGAGGTTTCCATTTCTCCTCTGGCCGTCCATTTCCTCAGTCATGCGACCCTCTGGAGCCCGCTGACCTTACAGTCTGGGTCCTGTGGGACACAACCAGTTGATGTCTCTCACATCAGTTTCTCTCTCTCTCTCTACCCCTCTCCCTCTCCCTCCCTCCCTTCCTCCTTCCCTCTCTCCCTTCCTCCTTTCCAGTATATCTAAAAATCAATGGCAGAATATCCGGGGGGGAGGATTAACAACAACAAAAAAATTAAATGCTTATTCTGGATCAAGTCTCACAATAGGAACTCTTGGCAATTCAAACATTCACAAAAACTGCCTAACATTTCAATAAAATAAGTTCCAAGGATTGATTTTAAACTTAATTTATTTTTTCTTTTAGATCTGTCAAGAAATCGCCTCTCAGAAATTCCCATAGAAGCATGTCATTTTGTTTCTCTTGAGAATCTCAATTTATACCAAAATTGTATTCGGTATATACCAGAGGCGATTCTAAACCTACAAGCTTTAACATTCTTAAATATTAGGTAAGATGTTTCTTTTCTTTTTCTTTTTTTTTAATATTTGGTTTTATGTGGTCTTTTCCATTTTCTGTTCTCTTAGACTAATATTTACATTATCTTTTCATATCAGCAGTTTCTATACATGTCCTTAGGCTAAATTAACAGTATTTCCTATCCCCTCTAGTTTCTCCCTCTGTCTTTACCATCATTGACAAACTTTAATAGCCATTAGCCTAATGGGCTTGCAGTAGTCTTGTAGTCTCCAATTACATTTTCAGATAGGCTTCATCAAATGAGAATAGTAAACCTGTAATTCATTTGGTTCCTGTGATTATATATTTTTGTGTATTCACTTCTGAATGTATAAATGCATTTTAACTCATCTACTCCATTTTTTCATATCTTACAAGAAATATTTTGTTATTTTATTGTAAAAGTTATGTGTTCATTGGAGAAAATGAGCAAATGAAATACCCTTTGGAAATATTTTTATGTAATCATCTTATTTTGCAGTTTACATACTTCTAAAATTCATTTTGCCTCTCTGTATATATTCTGTAATGATGATGAGGAAACTAGATTACAAACGCTTTTGTTTAAAACTCTTTGGAAAGAAGAGACGACGGTAGTTTTCTACCCTATTTCTAAATTATTTTTTCTTATATAAATTTAACTTTAATAAAATAATACATTGTGTTTATATAGCACTTTATTATTTACAAAGGTGTTTTATGGTTACTAGAGCCCTGTAAGATAAGTAGAGGAGAAGCTAAGATTCTCAATTTACAGATGAGGAATCTGTATAAGATGCAGATGGGTTAAATACTGTTCCTAAAAATTCCAAAGCTGACAAGTAAGTAAATGTAGTCCAGAACTCAAATCTAAAATTCTGTTTAGATCCTTGCAAGGCTTATCTTTGTTATTTTACTGAGTATAAATGGAAAGACAGAAATTTTTTTTTTTGAGCAGTGAGCTCTGACTCGTCTCTTTTTCTGTTTACCCATTTTAGTCGGAACCAACTGTCAACATTACCAGTACATTTGTGTAATTTACCATTGAAAGTCTTAATTGCTAGTAATAACAAATTGGTCTCACTTCCAGAAGAAGTTGGACATCTCAGACATTTAACAGAACTTGTAAGTTAATATTTTATTTTTTGATTGTCCTATATATATATATGCATAGTCATACCATACTCTTTTATATGGTAAAGATCCATTATTGAGGTGTGTTTCTGAGTTATTTTCAAGTATTAATAATGAAATTTCACTGATTGATCAGTACTCAAGTGCTTTGGCACAGAATTAAGAAGGAACTGGAGTCAATGGGGGAAGAGAGGGGGAACATCTGTAATATTTTCAACAATAAACATAAATTTTTTAAAAAGTGATGGTGTTTGCTTTGGTCACTAGGAATCTTAGCATTTAATTTAAAACCCAACTGCTACCCACAGTATATACATTTTGTAAATTATTAGTTTCATTTATTTTTATTTTTTTGCATTTTCTTTATATCATTTTACATCTCTTATATACTTCTATAAATCAGCTCAATTTCTTGTTTTTCGTTGTGTTTTGACTTTGTTTCTAAAGGCGAGAAAATCAAATTGATGAAATAAATTTTATATAAAAGTAAAAAGAGAAGGAACTGAAAGTACAAGTCTAACAGGCTCACATGGAATGGAGAAGTCATTAGAATTAGGTTGCAATGAGTATTAAATGATTTCTATGTTACTAAACTTTTGAGGTATAAGTTAATAATTCATTTGTACTTTTCAAATTAAGTCTTATTAATAACATCAATAGTCTTATTTTTTGTTAACCCCTATAGGGAAATGGACACTACAAAGGTCAGGCTTCGTTTTTTCTTATATGCTGTCTTTAGAACCTATCTCCCACTCTAAAGTAATCTATTCTTTACTGCTTTCTATTTCTAAGAAGCTTAACTTTCACCTACCACTCCTTGTTATTCTTGAATACTTATGTTCCCGGCATGATAATAAGACTTTTCTTTTTTGTTTTTTTAAATTTTTTTTTCTTTATTAATTAAAGAGAAGGAGGGAGAGGGAGAAAGAGATACAAACATTGATGAGAGAGAACATTGATTGATTGCCTCCTGCATGCCCCACACTGGGGATTGGGCCCAGAACCTGGGCATGTGCCCTGACCAGGAATTGAACCAGTGACCTCTTGGTGCATAGGTCAATGCCCAACCACTGAGCCACACTGGCTGGGCTAAAACTTTTCTTTTTTAATCACCACAGGAGCATTATTAATTGAGTACTATAATTATCATCATATTACTGCTGAGGAAACTAGCACTCAGATACGTTAAGTAATTTGCCAAAGGTTCCATAATTGAACTTGAAACCAGTCGACCTTAACTCCTAAGCCCATGTTTCAGATTTCTGAAATGATCAAATGCAGTTATACCCATTGAGATTTGAAGGTATCTCAATGTAGGTTTTTTTTAACAAAGATGAACGTCATAAAAAAATAAATACTGTATACCCTGGCCGGTTTTGCTCAGTGGTTAGAGCGTTGGCCTGTGGTCCTGAGAGACCTGGGTTCGGTTCCCGCTAAGGGCATGTACCTCGGTTGCAGTTTGTCCCCGGCTCTGATTGGGTCGTGTGGGTGGCAGCCACTTGATGTGTCCCTTTCACGTCGATGTCTCTCTCTCTCTCTCTCTCTTTCTTTCTTTCTCTCTCTCTCTCTCTCTCTCTTTCTCTCCCTCTCCCTCTCCCTCTCCCTCCCTCCCTCCCTCCCATTCTATCTGAATAAAAAATGGAAAAATGTCCTCGGGTAAGGGGAAAAAATAAATAAATAAATAAATAAATAAATAAATAAATAAATAAATACCGTACACATATAATCTAATTGGACTACATATTAGCTGACTTTTTAGGTAGATTATGAACATAAAAGGTCACATAAAAATTCAAAAATATATTAAATCTAGAGTCTCTCAATACTAGACCACTGTTTATTTGGAGCCAATTTGATCTAGGAAATAAATAGTCCAAACATGTATTTTTGTCGGCATTTCTTCAGAGCTTGGGTTAATAACATGAGCTAGTAGTAAATTATACTCATGATTCAAATTCTGATTTTCAAATCATTTAAACTTTTGGTTTTTACTTATTGAATCTTAAGTACTTAAAATATGTCTTGCAGCCCTGGCCGGTTTGGCTCAGCGTTTGGAGCGTCGGCCTGCGGTACAGAAAGACCCGGGTTCGGTTTCCGCTAAGGGCATGTACCTCGGTTGCAGTTTGTTCCCGGCCCTGGTTGGTCGTGTGGGTGGCAGCCAATCGATGTGTCCCTTCACATCGATGTTTTTCTCTCTCTCTCTCTCTCTCTCTCTTCCTCTCTCTCCCTCCGGCTCTATCTGAACAAAAAATGGAAAAATGTCCTCGGGTGAGGATAAAGAAAAAAATATATATATGTCTTGCAAAAGGTGCTTTTAGTTTCCTACGAAAGAGGTGAATTGATATCCTCAGTTATACAAACAGCTGTGGCAGAGTAAAAATTAGTAATCTTAAACCTCCTGATTCCTACTTGGTGGTCTTTCTGCAGTATCCCTATTCATTTTTTAGTGAAAGTAAACTACTGTCTTTCAACATACACATTTTTTGAGGGAAATATTATAGATTGCTATGACCTTCTGGCTCAGGCTCAATTTCCCTACCCTTTTAATTTCTTTGAGAACCTTTTAAACTTTGATGCCTAGACCATTGGACTAAGAAGTCTAACTTCTGATTCTACTGCATTCATTAATTGATAGAAAAAATTAAAATAAGGTCATTTTTTCTAAAAAATATTTTGGGAAAATTAAAAAAATGTTTTTTCTTTATTGATTTTTAGGGAGAGAGAAAGGGAGGGAGGGAGGGAGGGAGAGAGAGATAGAAACATCGATGAGAGAGAACATCAATTGACCACCTCCTGCATGCCCCCACTGGGGATTGGGCCCACAACCTGGGCATATGCCCTGGCTGGGAATCGAACTGGCGACCTCTTGGTGCATGGGTCAATGTTTAACCACTGAGCCACACCAGCCAGGCGATTTGGGGAAATTTTTTAAATGTTTGCAGCTTATTGAATTTTTGGTAAGTGGTCTTTTATAATAGTAAGTTTATTAATATTTTCTTTTTTGCTCCTCTGAGAAATTTTAAGTGTTAATGTGGCATCTTGACACTTATTAACCTAGACAGCTTCCTGCTACTGTGCATGGGTTTACAAATTATTCTGGCTGGTCTCAGAATTATGGAATCCTGGATATATCAGGATTGGAACCTAAAGTTCTCTCTCTTTAGAACCAGTGGAATCAGAATCAAGCTATTACCAAGGTACCAGAAGGCCTACCTAATATATGTATTGTAATCAGGTTGATCAGATGCCAGTAAAGCGGTATCTGTTTTTCCATATCCTTTTGAATTATGTGTACTTTATTATTTTCCCCTCACTTTTAGTTTGATAAATGATATGGGTCATCTTTAATGCATTTTTATCTTATATTCTTGAACAGTTGAACTGATAGTTTGAAAATAAGATTTTTCTTAATGTATGCAGGATTTTTTAATTGATTTTAGAGAGAGGGGAACATTGCTTTGTTGTTCCACTTATTAATGCTTTCTTTCTTTCTCTTCTTTTCTCGTCTTTTTTGTTTTTTTTCTTTTGTTAATCCTCACCCGAGGATATTTTTCCATTGATATTTTTAGAGAGAGTGGAAAGGAAGGAGGAGGAGAGAGAGAAAGAGAGAGAGAGACATCAATGTGAGAAGGACACATCGATTGGTTGCCTCCTGAATGACCCCAAATTGGGCCAGGATCAAACCTGCAACCCAGATATGTGCCCTTAATCAGAATCGAACCCACGACTGTTCGGTCTGAGGGGTGGCGCTCTAACTGCTGAGCCAAACTGGTCAGGGCCATTGGTTGTTTCTTATATGTGCCTTGACCCCAGGGATTGAACTGCAACCTTGGCATATTGGGACAATGCTCTAACCAACAACTAGCCAGCCAGGACTTGAAAATAGGATATTCTTTCAAATAATTTTATCTCAATTTTTATCACTTTTTCTTATAGTTTTATTAGAATAATATAAAATAAAAATATTCTCCCTAAATAGATGTTTTTACACTTTTTCCTATTTGACTTTTTCACCTATATTTGTTTTATGCCTTCCTGTGTCTTAAATAATTTAATTTTAATTATCATAAAGTTAATGTAGATATATATAAAATGTATAGAAACAGTCAAAAGACCGTATATTTTTATAATTAAATGCTAATACAAACTATGGAATTATTCTTGGACATGGAATCATAATTTTTTTTACAACTAGGACAAACCACAGGTATAATTATTTTGTCCAACCTCATTTTACAGATAGCTTAAAGCAGGCAATTTTGAAATTTAGAATAATTCTTTACTTTGTATCTTTTTGAAATAGGATGTGAGCTGCAATGAAATTCAAACAATACCTTCCCAAATTGGTAATTTGGAGGCCTTGAGAGACCTTAACGTAAGAAGAAATCACTTAGTACGTTTGCCTGAAGGTAAGAAACTATGAAATAATTCTTTTGTTATTATTTGTCTTTATTTTAAAGAGCTCTCAGACTGATGGACATAAGACAAAATTATATAGAGTTGCAGCCAGTGTTTTGAGATGTAATGGTCTATTAAATATGTTATTTCTTCCACTAAGAATTTTAAAAGGCAGTTTCTTCAGGGATAAGTTCCAATAACTATTGTCAAGTGATTGTATTTTTAAACCCTGTCAGCTTATATAATTGATAACTCAGGATAGTGTCACTGGAAGTTTCAGTAAGCTTAACTACTTGGGAGATATATAACATTTTTTTATAAGGAAATAGTTTAGTATAATGAAAAACATTCCTGCAATTAGCTCTAACTTAAAAATGGACTTGACTTGAACTTAATAACTTTATCCTTCATTGGAAGTGTTCAAATAGAGGCTAATTAACGATTTAGAGGTGACGTATAGAGTGAATAATGAATAGAGTGAGAGACTGCACTGAGAGACTGACTGTAAGCTCTGGTATATATATTTGAATGATAAAAATGATTAAACAAATTAAGTGTAATTAGCAGTCTTTTAAAATTACAAATTCATGAAAGAAAAAGCTATAAAAGAAAGTGAAAATAAGGAGAACAGTTATTTTATTAGATCAGATATTTCTTTAATTTTGTTGTGGAAAATGTCCCATATAGAGAGAGAGAGCAATGAATCACCTAGCTAAAACAGTCATCAGCTCATGGCAACTCCTGTTTCATCCACACGCCCATCCCCTTTCCCTTTCCCTTACTCTTTCCTCTATCATTGGTTCTCAACCTTCCTAATGCCACGACCCTTTAACCCAGTTCCTCATGTTGTGGTGACCCCCAACCATAAAATTATTTTTGTTGCTACTTCATAACTGTAATTTTGCTACTGTTATGTCTTAGGTGACCCCTGTGAAAGGGTCATTTGACGCCCAAAGGGGTCACGACACACAGGTTGAGAACCACTGCGAGTCTAGATTAATTTGAAACGACTTACAGAAGAAATTCATCTGTAAACATTTCAGAATGTATATCAGAAAGATAAGGAATGGTCAGAAGGTATTTTTATGACTGTAATTCTCTTTTTTTTTTAATTGGAGAAACCCTGATTTTTAAAAAAATATTATTGAATTTTTTGTTGTTGTTACAGATGTCCTCCTTTTTCCCCCTTTGACACCCTCCTTTCTACTCTCACCCCCCACCCCACCTTCACCATATTATTTGTTGTCTGTGTCCATTGATTATGGATATATGCACATCGTTCTTTGGTTTATCTCTTTCTGCCCTCCCACCCTGATTCTCTAGATTTTTTGACAAATGTGACTTCTAGTGTATAATAAATACCAAATTAACTAATGATGTTTTTGCTTTACTGTGTAATCCAAATGTTCACTACAATTTGATCCAATATGATATTTACTATACATTAAATATCATATACCAATATGATATTTAGTTCTAACATACCAGTATAGCTTTGTCATTTTGGATCCTAAGTAAGCATCTCAGAAAGTGATTTGCCGCCCTGGCCAGTTTGGCTCAGCGGTTAGAAAGTGACTTGCCAAGTCCACTTTTTTTTTTTTTTATCCTCACCTGAGGACATTTTTTCCATTTTTTTGTTCAGGTAGAGTGGGAGGGAGAGAGAGGAAGAGAGAGAGAGAGAGAGAGAAACATCGATGTGAAAGGGACACATCGAGTGGCTGCCACCCGCACAACCAGCCAGGGCCGGGGACAAACTGCAACCGAGGTACATGCCCTTAGCGGCAACCGAACCCGGGTCTCTCGGGACCGCAGGCTGTTGCTCTAACCGCTGAGCCAAACTGGCCAGGGCTCAAGTCCACTTTAATGCACTCACTGCAAGTACACTACCCAGAGTCCTGCATGTCTTTCCTCTTCCTAGACTTGTCCAGTTACCTTTGCACCATGTGTCTTCAGAGCCTGCCTCATTTTTTCCTGGTTCTGCCTTCTATCACCTCAGGAATGTGAATGAAGGCCTCAGCAGAACTGAGCAAAGTTATGACACAGGGCCTTATAACCCCAAATTTTTGTCTAAGATTACTCCTCAGCTTGGGACCTACCTACTGTGGTTGCTTTTTAAAGGCTTACTAATGTTAATACTGACTTAATGTGAAAACGTTGAGATTTTGGTGAAAATGAAAATTTGGGGTATCATATGACAACTGCAGTCTAATAGTTTTATCATCTAATATATTCCTATATCATATTTTGAATGTGTATTGCCAAGAAAATTATGAAATTACCAAATAATATCAAATGAATTTTTAAAATCAATTTATCTTGTAACCTCAGCATGTTCATTTAAAATGAGATGGCAGGAAAACTTTATTCCAACAGCTACACAAGTTAGTGTGGAAGTTCATATTAATTAATTGGGGGCATCTAACATTATAATCCAGTAGATACCATTATAATTCAGTAGATAAAATACTGCATCCTTTGTTATATTACCATTTTAATTTTAAATTAATTACGATTTTTATAAAATAATATTATCCAAAAGTCAAATAATATTGAAAAGCTTAAAATAAATAATAGCATTTCTACGGCCTCAACTGTCCCCTCCCCAGTTTCAATGGCCAAAGTATCTACCTTCAGTTCCTTTGATACTTTCCACTGGTATTATGTGCTTTTACAGTTATTGCTGGATTTATCAACTTTGACACTTATGTCAGTTTTCCAAAGCAGTAGATGAGGATTTAACTTCCTTACATTATCACCATCACACCTTCTCTCTTTGCATCTTCCGAGTATAGTTTTATCACAACCTTTGATTAAATTGTTATTTATTGTTTATTTTATTCTAACTAAATATTGTTCCCTGCCAATTAAAGTAATGTACTCTGATTTCATTTTCTTATTTTTTTATTTTTTTTTTTATCCTCACCCGAGGACATCTTTCCATTTTTTGTTCAGGTAGAGTGGGAGGGAGAGAGAGGAACAGAGAGAGAGAAAGAAACATCGATGTGAAAGGAACACATCGAGTGGCTGCCACCCTCACGACCAACCAGGGCCGGGGAAAAACTGCAACCGAGGTACGTGCCCTTAGCGGGAACAGAACCCGGGTCTCTCAGGACCGCAGGCCGATGCTCTAACCGCTGAGCCAAACCAGCCAGGGCTGATTTCATTTTCTTCTTTGTATATCTTGTTTTTGTTGTTTTTCTAGATGTAATAATTTGTTTCTTTAATTAAAAAAAAATACTTTTATTGATTTTTGGGTCGTGCGGGTAGCAACCACTTGATGTGTCCCTTTCACGTCGATGTTTCTCTCTCTCTCTCTCTTTTCCTCCCACTTTATCCAAACAAAAAATGGAAAAATGTCCTCGGGTGAGAATAAAAAAAAAGTAAAGCTTATTAAAAAAAAAAAGTACAGTTCCTCATGTTGTATGTGGGCGTATCTGGCCCGCCTGGAGACAGACAGAGGAGTGGTGTCTTGGTTCCTAAGACCATCGGAAATATGTGTTTTCCGATGGTCTTAGGCGACCCTTGTAAAAGGGTCGTTCAACCCCCAGAGGGGTCAAGACCCACAGGTTGAGAACCACTGCTCTAGAGAGTGATGTTTTATTTCTTCTACATTGTTATCTATATTCCTGACTACCTGCATTCAAGAGCTGGGGATGGAAAAGGATTGGGTAGGAAAGTGCCAAAGTCTTGCCATTAAGTGTGTAGACTTTCACTTAAATCTTCCATTTTTAACTGGCAACTCATCCTGACTTACTGTTTTACCTGGGGTCCCTAGCTTCAGAGCATTTTAATTCAAATGCACTAGAGAGTAACTTGTTGACTCCTGTGTTGATTGGAGCGGGGTAGTGCCTTAGCTGTACGAATTGGGTTTGGGAATCTATGTATCTCTAACTTGTACTTTATACAGACTATCATCTAATCCATTTGTTATCCCCATCTTTCTGCAATTCTGTGAGGAGTCAAACAGCTTGCTTTTCATTAGTATTCCTGTCTGTAAGCATCTAGATTCCATTTTATACCACTGCTATATCAGTTAACCACTAAGAAAGAATGGAAGCAAATACTTATGTTCAATCCACTATATTTAATTAGAATCTCCTGTCAAAATTGTCTTGTTTTGAAATATCATTAATTGTTCATTTCCATTTTATCTCTTTGCAGAGCTGGCAGAGTTACCTTTGATACGGTTAGACTTCTCCTGCAATAAAATTACAACAATCCCTGTTTGTTATCGGAACCTCAGGCACCTACAGATGATTGCCCTAGATAACAATCCATTACAGTCTCCTCCTGCACAGGTGAAACATCATTGGTTTGAAATATGTTATGAACTCTTTGGGCAAAGAATGAAACTTTAAATTTAAGTTACATGCATTTATCTTTTTGTTGGAAATGAAGTTCTTTTAAAATAAATTCACACATTTATGTATTCGTTAGAAGCCTTGACTAAATGGGGTGGAAGGTAGATAGGTATAATGTCTAGAAGTGTTTATTTTATTTTCATTAAATTGCCTTTTAGCTTTGTTTTGCTTTTTTTGTTAATCCTCATCAGAGGATATTTTTCCATTGATTTTTTTTCTTTTCTTTTGAGAGAAACATCGATGTGAGAGAGAGACATCAATTGGTTGCCTCCCACACCCACCCCAACTGGGACTAGGATCAAACCTGCAACCTGCCCTTGACTGGGAATCAAATCCAAGACCCTTTGGTGTGTGGGCCGACATTCTAACCACTGAACCACACAAGCCAGGGCCATTAAATTGGCTTTTTAATTTTTGTTTATTTATTTATTTTTTAAAGCAGTAAGGAACCTTATATTTTATCCTCACCCAAGGATATTTTTCCATTTATCTTCAGATGGGGAGGGTGGGGAACAACGTGAGAGACACACATCGATTGGTTGCCTCCCGCCCGACCCCAACCAGGGCCCGGACCGAACGACAACCGGGGTACATGCTCTTGATTGGAATCGAACCTGCGACCCTTTTTTATGCGGGCTGGTGCTCTAACCACTTAGCAACCGGCCTGGGCTTTTTTTTCTTTTCAATAATTTTTCTTACTGATTTTATAAAGAGAGGAAGGGAGAGGGAGAGAGAGAGAGAGGGAGACATCCATGAGAGAGACTGTTGATTGGCCGCCTCCTGCATGCCCTCCACTGGGGATTGGGCCCACAACCTGGGCATGTGCCCTGCCTGGGAATCAAATTGGCAACCTCTTGGTGCATGGGTTGACACTCAACCACTGAGCCACACCAGCCAGACTAAATTTTAAAAAATTGTACGATTCTTCCTTAAAGCTTTTCTAATAAAATTTTAGATTGTTTCTGGTAAAACTCGAATGTAGACAATGTAAATGCTAGAGACAAAAAATTTAGTTTTCAGAACTAAAGATTATCAGTGCATTTCATCTGACCATTGTTTTTGTACCTTCCCATTTTCTAAAATCTTTTTTTTTCCTTATTGATTTTTAGAGAGAGAAGAAGGGAGAGGGAGAGAGAGACAGAAACATCGATGAGAGAGAACATCGATTGGCTGCCTCCTGCATGCTTCCCACTAGGGTTTTGGCCCACATGCCCTGACCGGGAATCGAACCTGCGACCTCTTGGTGCATGGGCCAACACTCAACCAGTGAACCACACCAGCCAGGCCCATTTTCTAAAATCTTCAGTTCCTCATTTATTTAGTTTAGTTATTTGTTTAGTAGTGACTGAAATTAATATATTTAATAATAAAGTAATTATAGATACTGTTACATATAGATTCTAGACATTGTACAGTCTAAAAAATATTTATCAGTCTGTAGTTTTTTTCACTGTACAATCAATTGATGATACAAGCTTCTGTATAGCAAATATAAAACTTGATGATGCCCTGGCCAGTTTGGCTCAGCGGTTAGAGCGTCAGTCAGCCTGCGGTCCAGAGAGACCCTGGTTTGGTTCCCACTAGGGGCGTGTACCTCAGTTGCAGTTTGGCCCTGGCCCTGGTTGGTCGTGCAGGTGGCAACCACTCGATGTGTCCCTTTCACCTCGATGTTTCTCTCTCTCCCTCTCTCTCCCTCCCACTCTATCTAAACAAAAAATGGAAAATGTCCTCGGGTGAGGATAAAAAAAAAAAAACTTCATGAGTAGCCCTAGTTGGTTTAGCTCAGTGGTTAGAGCGTTGACCCCTGGACCAAAGAGTCGCGGGTTTGATTCTGGTCAGGGGCACGTACCTGGTTGTGGTTGGGGCCCAGCCCTGGTCGGGGTCATGCGGGAGGCAACCCGTTGATGTGTCTCTCTCACGTCGATGTTTCTCTTTGTCTCTCTCTCTCCCTCCCACTCTATCTGAAGATAAGTGGGGGGAAAAGTAACCTTGGTGAGGATTTAAAAAAAAAAAACTTGATGAGTAAACTTCCTAACTATAGAAGGGTCTCATAATCCTAAAGAATTAGTGTTTTGACTTCTGGGACAGAAGTTAACAAGTAGCAACAGAAATATCTATAGCTTTAATCTTTAAACATTTTCAGCTTTTCTCTCTAACAGAAAGTAGGATTGAAAACATAATTGTACAGCCCAGCCAGTGTGGCTCAGTGGATTGGGCATTGTCCCATGGACTGAGAGGGCCTGATTCCATTCCTGGTCAGGGCACATGCCCAGGTTTCAGGCTCGATCCCCAATAGGGGGTGTGCAGGAGACAGCCGCTTGATTTTTCTCACATCGATGTTTCTCTTTCTCCCTTCCTCTCTTTCTCTAAAAAAAAATTAATCAACATATATATGTAGATATATTAAAATATTTTTTTTAGCAAACATAATTGTACATGTTTGTTGGATTCCTAAAAGCAAAAGTTGCTAAACTAATATAATTCATGTGGGAGCAATGCTTTAAATTCCTGACTATGCCTAACTAATCAGTGTGGTAAGTTTACTTGCTATTCTGTTTTATAATTATAAATTATTTTTATATGTTACTGTTACTTATTAGTGTCTAGAAAGTAAAACCTATATTTCTATCACTTAAACACCTAAAATAACAAGTAATATCATTTAATAAAGTGAGTATTAGATTTTTAGTGTTTGTACTTAATAGAAATGCTGTTTCCAATATCCATTAAATAAAAAGCTGATTGTAATTTAAAATGGGACACATTTCAGATAAGTAATAATTTGATTGCATGTATGTGTTACTTTATTTAGATATGTATAAAAGGCAAAATCCACATATTTAAGTACCTGAACATACAGGCTTGTAAGATTGCTCCAGATCTGCCAGATTATGATAGGAGACCCTTGGGTTTTGGCTCCTGGTGAGTATGTTCTATTTATTTTTTATCATATTCCATCTCACAAGAAATCAAATACACTGGACCCTTAAATCTGCCTGCATGTTTGACTAAAAGGAAATAACCTATTTTGACGTTGTTTTTCTCAGAATACTTGTATTAAATAAAATATTCATTACTTAGATATGATAAAGTGTAGCTCTAATCAGAGTTTCTCAGCCTCAACACTATTTGTTATGTTGGACAAGATAATTCTTTTGTTGTGAGGAGCTGTCCTATACAGTGGAAGATACTTAACAGCATCCCTGGCTTCTGTTGCATTTTCCCTGTATAACAAACAAAATGTCTCCAGACATTGCCAAATATACCCTGGAGGTTTCTGCAGTAAAAAAACCACTGGTCTGAGTGGCTTGAATACTAACCTTGGCTCTGCTGTTAACTAGCTCTGTGACTTAAGGCAAATCTCTCAAACTTTTTGTGCTTCCATTTTTTCCATAGGGAGTGAAGAGGTTGGACTTGATGACTATTAATGTCACTTTGAGATCTAAAACATAAAAACAAAAAATGTGCAACACACAAAAGTAGCTGTTATTTTATATATATGTGTATTGATTTTCTCCCTTGGAGTTAGTAATTCTTGCCCAGGAAAAGTTTCCCCCTTGTGAAATAACAGAATAGGAACATTAAACTGCTACTACTGTCTTTGATATTTGAGTGTGAGACAAGTAATAGTGAGTCCTGGGTAGGTATATGGGAGGGTATGTCTAAAGAGACTAAAGAGGAAGCATCATCACCTATACAAATAATGAGCTTTAACTGAAGACTGCAGTGCTAATTGTAGAACCTGTGATTCTGCCCTTTGTCTTAGCCCAGTTCTTTATTTTACTATAGCAGTCCTCATCATATTATTTTTAAAACATATACAAAGCCCTGGCTGGTTTGGCTTAGCTGTTAGAGCGTTGGCCCACGGACCAGAGAGGCCCCGTTCGGTTCCCACTAAGGGCATGTACCTCGGTTGAGGTTTATCCCCATCCCTGGTTGGGGTTGTGTGGGTGACAACCAGTCAGTGTCTCTCTCTCTTCCTCCCTCTCTCCCTCCCGCCATATCTGAAGATAAATGCAAAAATATCCTCGGGTAAGGATAAAAAATAAAATTAAATAAAAACGTATTAAAAAAAAAAACTTGGCAAGACTTACGTGTTTCTAAGAGATAAAAGAAATCTTGAATCCATGGAGAAACCTTTCCTAAATGGGAAATCTAAATAGCATAAATATGTTATGTCTCTCCAAAGGAATTAGTAATTATAGATCTAATGTATTCCAGTTCCTATAATAATTCTTAGTGATGCTCACTAGATTAAGCTGTCTACTGTATTTTCTAGAGTTGTGATACTTTATTTGTATTGGTTTCAGAATGTGCTGGAAATTTTAAAATACATATATATGTATATAGATAATTTATATATTTACATATATGTAAACTATTCCTTTCAACTACTCATGCACCAGTTAATGAGATAGTATACCTTCATGTCTTTCTCACTGAGGTACAGATTAGTGAAAAATTGCATTAGTTGGCAGTACATTTATTCAAAATGCCATCATGGAGTCAGGTTTTGGTTCTGGCTGTGAATCCCCACACTGTTGAAGAATTCAGTTAACCTCTTCGAACCTCCATTTCTTCAATATGTTCTTTACCCTGTGTATACTCTATAGTTCTGATTATCAAAAGACCTGTGTGTGAAAGTGCTTTACTGACCATAAAGCCTTATACAAATATTAGGAATTATAGTTACTCGTTGTCTACTGTGATCTAGAACCAATTTAGTCCTAAGAGTCCTGTCTTGCTAAAGAGAATTTTTATTAATCCTATCGCTCTTCAGGTATTCAATCCAAATTAGATGCTGTGATACTTTTAGACCTTAGATACAACTTTCTAACTACTTTTTTGAAACATAAAAGTAATGGACAATCTTCCTTAAGTCATTTTATGAAGGTCACAGATATTTTACTCATTTCCAGATGTAAATGTTTCCAGCTCCTTTAGCAATTGTCACTGTTGTGATAATGTTTTCATTTTATACAGTGGCACACATATTTTTCAATAGTGATCAATAGTGACCTACACTTTTTTTGCTGAGATAATTTTAAGCAGATTTATATTACAGACTGAATATATTTACTCGTGATGATGTGGCAGTGAAACAAAACTAAGGAAGGCTAAGCTGCTGGTAAGAAAAGTCCTGCCTCTGCCCAGCCGGTGTAGCTCAGTGGTTGAGTGTCAACCCATGCACCAAGAGGTCGCCGGTTCAATTCCCAGTCAGGGCACATGCCCAGGTCGTGGGCCAAATCCCCAGTGCGGGGCATGAAGGAGGCGGCCGATTGATGTTCTCTCTCATCGGTGTTTCTCCTCTCTCCCTAAAATCAATAAAGAAAAAAAAAGAAAAATCCTGCCTCTGTAACCCCAGTAATGGAATTCTCTACAACAAGCCTGAGCTTGTGAAAAGAGTGACCATCGTATTTGTATTCTTAGCACCTAGAACACTGTCTGGCATCCAATAAGTGTGTGGTGAACTAAACTCAAATGAAGCAGATTTAGTGACTTGTTATAACAAGAAATGTTCTTTCTTAAGGGTGCATTCTTTGCAGATTGATAATTTTTATTTAATGCTTTGTGCCAACCAGGTTTTGTGCAAGTCCTTAACTTATATTTTCTTATATTTCCTCAATCTTTATAGCAGTTCTCTCAGGTAGGTATTGTTGTTAAAGTTTTTCTTGTTTAAACTTCTAAGAAAACAGAAGTTGAGAGAGGTTAAACAAGTTCAAGTCACATAGCTGGTAAATAATGGTGCCAAGTTGTCGGTCCCGATCTGTTAAACTATGTTTAAAACTCTTTATTGCACTATACTAATTTCACAGTTCATCTTCCTGCTACAGAGAAGTCACTTACGTGTTTAAATCTAGGTAGTTTATTAGGGAGATTGGACTTTCTGACAGGGTATAGCTGGAGCCTGGCTGGGAGAACTCTGGCCAGGTGAAGGCCAAAATTATACATAGGGTGACTATCTGTCCTGCTTTGTGTGTGACTAAGGGGATTTCTGGGACATAGGACTTTTATGGCTAAAACCAGGAAAATCCTGACCAAACCTGGAAAATTGGTAAACTTATATGTGTTATTTTAATCTTATCAGTTTAATCTCTGAGTCAGAGCGAACATGTAGAGAAGCTAAAGGTAACTGAGTAAAAAAATAAAATAAAATAGCTTAATGCAAAGATTCTATTAATTTTCTTTCTTTTTTTTTTTTAAATCCTCACCCGAGGACATTTTTGCATTTATCTACAGATAGAGTGGGAGGCAAGGAGGGAGTAAGAGAGAGAGAGAGAGAGAGAAACATCGATGCGAGAGAGACACATTGACCGGATGCCACCCACACGATCCCAGCCAGGGCCGGGGCCAAACTGCACCTGAGATACATGCCCTTTGCGGGAACTGAACCTGGGTCTCTCTGGTCCGTTGGCCGACGCTCTAACTGTTGAACCAAACTGGCCAGGGCTTAGCAATATATTTTTAAGGTCATTGATGCTGCATTTTTAAATGGGCAAAAGATTTAAAACATTTTAGAAAAGAAGATAAGTAACTGACCAGGAAGCACACAAGAAGATATTCAGTATCACTAATCATGAGAAAAATACAAATTAAAACCATTGTGAGATAATACTTGACCCCTTTCAGAACAGCTGAAATTAAAGACTGACAGTGCAAATGTTGGCAACTCGAACTCAAATATGTTGTTGTTGAGAATGCAAAATGATAGTTACTTTTGAAAACAGATTTTGAAAACAGATTGGCAGTTGTTTTTTAAGTTAAACCTACACTTACCGTATTATTCATCTATTCAGTCTAAGATACTAAAAACATCAAGATTTTCACTGACATGATGCTGAATAAAAAAATACAGTACATATAATTCCATTTTTATGAGTTCTACAGTAAGTAAAACTAATTGTATTGCTTCTATAACAAACTACCAAATACTCAGAGGCTTAAACAAGACAAACTTATTATCTTACAATTCTTTAGGTCAGAAGTCTAAATTTTTTTTGTTAATCCTCACCCAAGGAATTTTTTTCCTTGATTTTTTACTTGCCTCCTGCACACACCCTGACTGGAGCTGGGGATCAAATCTGCCACCCAGGTACGTACCCTTGACCAGAATCAAACCTGTGACCCTTCAGTGTGCGGCCGACGCTCTAACCACTGAGAACATTGGCCATGACCAGAAGTCTAAATCTTGGTTTCATCAAGATACTGGCAAAGCTACATTTTTTTCTGTAGGCTGTCAGTAGGATGTATTTCCTTGCCTTTTTTAACTTCTAAAGGCTGTTTGCATTCCTGGTTCTTGGTCCCCTTTTTTCATCTTCTAGCCAGCATTATATCACAGTGACCTCCTCTTCTGCCTCCCTCTTCAACTTTTAAGGACCCTGGTGATTACAGTGAACCCATTCAGATAATTCAAGATAATTTCCCTTTTTTTTTTTTTTTTTTTTTTATCATCCTCACCCGAGGACATTTTTCCATTCTTTGTTCAGATAGAGTGGGAGGGGGAGAGAGAGGAACAGAGAGAGAGAGAAACATCGATGTGAAAGGGACACATCGAGTGGTCGCCACCGGCACAACCAACCAGGGCCGGGGATAAACTGCAACCGAGGTACATGCCCTTAGCGGAAACCGAACCCGGGTCTCTCCGGACTGCAGGCCGATGCTCTAACCGCTGAGCCAAACCGGCCAGGGCTAATTTCCCTATTTTAAGGTCAGCTGATTAGCAACCTTATTTCTATCTATAACCCTAATTCTCTTTTGCCATGTAAAGTAACATATTTGTAGATTCTAGGGAGAAGGGCTTGGGCATCTTTGGGGACAATTATTCTGCCTTCCATACTAATGTAAGGTGAAAACACTCAGAATGGTGGTTGCCTCTTAGCACACAGTGGCGGGGGGAGGAAAATTGACTGGAAAGGGATGGGTGTGTGGGAATTTTCTGGCAAAGTAGAAATATCCTATATCATGATAGACGTGTGTGTTATATTACAAAGGTGTACTTATTGGTCAAAAGTACACAGCTAAAGTAAGTGCATTTCAGTGTGTGAAAGAGGACTTTTTTTTTTTATCCTCACCCAAGGACATTTTTTTTATTCAGATAGAGCAGGAGGGGGAGAGAAAGAGAGAGAAACACTGACGTGAAAGGGACACATCGAGTGGCTACCACCCACACGACCCAACCAGACCCAGAGACAAACTGCAACCGAAGTACATGCCCTTAGCGGGAACCGAACCCGAGTCTCTCCGGACCTTTGGCCGACGCTCTAACCACTGAGCAAAACCGGCCAGGGCTGTAAGAGGACTATTAAAAATAACAGCCTGGCTGGTGTGGGTCAGTGGTTGCCGGTTCGATTCCCATTCAGAACACATGCCCAGGTTGTGGGCCTGATCCCCAGTGGGGCATGCAGGAGGCGGCCAGTTGATGTTCTTTCTCATTGATGTTTCTATCTCTCTCTTCCTCTCATGTCCTCTCTTTAAAATCAATGAAGGGGGAAAAAATTTTTTTAGTAAAAAATAAATAAAAACAAATGATAGCATTGGGAATGGGTAGAGAAATAGATGAAACAAGAATGACAAAGTTATTTTTGAAGCTGATACTGAGTACCTGGGAGCTTATATACTATTCTATTCACTCTGTTTTAATTTGGAATTTTTCATATTTAAAAATTAAAAGAATGCTCATTTAGTTCTAAATAATTAAGTCCACTACATGCCATGAAAATGTTTGTTTGTAAAATTGAATGTGACTTATTTCAAATGTTCATTTTAAAAAATCAAACTTTGCAGTAATGACTCATGTCTCTTTTTGCCAGCCATGAAGAACTATACTCAGGTCGCCCTTATGGAGCCCTTGATTCAGGTTTCAATAGTGTTGACAGTGGTGATAAGAGATGGTCAGGGAATGAAGTAAGTGTTTATTCTGTTCTGCATATTACAACTCCTGATTAAGAGAAAATAAAATTATGAAAATGAAAAGTCTCTCTTTAGTTATTAGTATTATGTGTTCTCTTTTTTAAAATTACTAAGGTATAATATTTTAGCTATAGATTGGGTTAAATGATTAAATAAACGTTTGTTACCAAGACCTACCATTTATAATACCGTTTCATTGGGCGTCCAAAGCAAATTAATTTTAGATAACCACCAGTTTGTAATTTGGAATTCCTTGTGGGTGGGTGTGTACATAATTTTGGTTGTATCTATACAGATACAAATATGTAGGTACTTTAAATTCATGTACATATGTATAAAGGTTTACAGTTATGAGTATACCAAAACAGAGTTTATACTTGTATTATTTATTAATTATTGTATTATTTTCCATATGAACAATTGTAAACCTACTATTGCCCCACCCTGTATTTATGCAGTCATATATACTCTTCTATTTCTTTTTCTTTAATTGTGATCAAATACACATAATGTAAAATTTACCACTTTAGCAAATTTTTTAAATCCTCATCCAAAGATATGTTTTTTATTGATTTGAGAGAGAGAGAAACATCGATGTGAGAAACCTGGGGTTGAACCTGCAACCTAGGTATGTGCCTTGACCAGGAATCGAATCTGAAATCTTTTGGTGTTCAGGAAAACACTCCAACCAACTGAGCCACCTGGCGAGGGCCATTTTAACCATTTTTATTGTTGCAAGTATCACAGATGTTCCACTTTTTTCCCCATTGACCCCCTCTTCCCCGTTTAACCCCCCTCCTGCCTTTCCCAACCCATTTTAACCATTTTTTTTTTTAATCCTAACCTGAGGATATTTTTCCATTTTATCTTCGATAGAGTAGGAAAGGGAGAGAGATAGAGAGGGAAACGTCGATATGAGAGAAACACATTGATTGGTTGCCTCCCGCACGGCCCTGACCGGGACCAGGGATGAACCGCAACCGAGGTATGTGCCCTTGATCATAATTGAACCGTGACCCTTTGGTCTGCAGGCTGACGCTCTAACTGCTGAGCCAAACTGGCCAGGGCCATTTTAACCATTTTTAAGTATATATTTTAGGGGCATCAGGGACATTCACATTGTTGAAAAACTGTCACCACCTTGCATATCCAGAACTTTTTTGCTATTCTTAAATATACATTTGAATGAGTTTATATATATCCATGGTTTTAAATTCTTTGTAATCTAAAATTTAGAATGATGTTTTTTAATGTTTCTGCTATCTTTTTAAGCCTACGGATGAATTTTCAGATCTGCCTCTTCGAGTAGCAGAAATTACTAAAGAACAAAGACTACGAAGAGAAAACCAGTACCAAGAGAATCGCAGCAGTGTGGTAGTAACAAATGGTGGAGGTAAACATAATTCCTGATGACAGCTGAAGTCTTTGTAATCACTCTAAAAAGTGGTCTTTTTTTTACACCTACTCCTGTGGTTTGTGTATCTATGGTTTCTTCGACTCTTCTTTTAAAGACTTTCTCTTATATGAGTGGGAAAATACTGATTTCTGTTGGGGTTAAATTTCAATTTCTCTGTTTTCAGGCTTTCAGTTAAAATATAATGTTTCTTATTTTTAATTTGGGAAGAAACTTTATTAAAGAACAGTTTACCTGGACTGGATCTTTGTTAATCTTTATTTAAGCAGGATTGTCTTTTCAAGTACTAGTCTCCTTTTAAAGATTCTTTTTGTAGTCATTATTTGACCTCTTTTAGGAATTCATTGCTATTCTTCATTACTTTTTCTTTCATTTGGAATTATGCTTTTCAGGGGCATCTGAATCTGAGTTTTCCTTATCCTGATATTTTAAAACATGTTTAAAAGTTTAAAATCTAAAACATGGGGAAAGAACCTAAAAGAATATGTACCTTTCGATGTTTAAAAATTATTCCTTCTACTCTGGACGCTGTGGCTCAGTGGTTGAGGTCGACCCATGCACCAAGAGGTCTCCGGTTCCATTCCTGGTCAGGGCACATACCCTGGTTGTAGGCCCAATCCCCAGTGTGGGGCAAGCAGGAGGCGGCCATTCAATGTTCTCTTTCATTGATACTTCCATCTCTCCTTCTCTCTCTCAAAATCAATAAAGAAAAAAAATTTTTTTAATGTTTCTTCTTTGTTTATCTCACAAACCCAGACTGTCTTATTTAAAACAGTAAAGAGCTATCAAAAAAATGAAAGAAATATTAGAGTCTGTATTCCAGTAATTATCACCAATTACTGCTTTAGTGAATTAGGACTAAGATTTTTCTGGAGCCTATTTTTGTGAGTGGTCGTGGACTAAAGGCTTACATATTTAAATTTCTTATATCTTCTACTTTCAGAATAGTAAATGGTAGGGAAAAGGAAAGAATGCAACTTAATGTCTTATTAGCTGTCTAATTGACTGTTTTTTCCTAATGTGAACAGTGGAACATGATCTGGATCAGATTGACTACATTGACAGCTGTACTGCAGAGGAAGAAGAGGACGAGGTGAGACAACCCAAGAGCCTGGACTCAGACAGCCTCAGTTCACAGTTTATGGCATATATTGAACAACGGCGAATCTCTCATGAGGTAGTATACACAATTAAGCCTAACTATGTTGCTGTACCCTAATAAAAACAACTTATGGTAGTATAAATTTCTGTCATATCAGTGATTGGTTGGTTTAGGCCTAATTATTTATTATGCTCAGTTCCAATTTAATTACTGAATTTTTCAGATTCATTTTTATTTTATTTTTTTAATATTTATTTTATTTTTGTTACAGATGTTTCTCCTTTTTTACCCCATTGACACCCACCTCCCCATTCCCCCACCCTGTCCCCGGCTTTGTTGTCCATGTCCATTGGTTATGCGTACATGCATATAAGTTCTGTGGTTTATCAGATTCATTTTTAAAAATCAGACAGTAGTCTCGCCTGGCCAGTGTGGCTCAATGGTTGAGCATCATCCCATGCACTAAGAGGTCGCCAGTTTGATCCCTGGTCAGGGCACATGCCCAGGTTGTAGACCAAATCCCCAGTGGGGGCATACAGGAGGCGGCCAATCGATGTTCTCTTTCATTGATGTTTCTATCTCTCTCTCTCTCTCCCTCTCTTTTCCTCTGTCTCTAAAAATCAATTTAAAAAAAATTTTTTTTAGTCTCAAATAGGGCTTACACTTTTTTTTCAAATAAAAAGACAGATTTCAGAATTTTGAAAAATGAATTAAAGGAGTCCTAAGAGTATCCTATGCCTTTGAAGAAAATGCAAAGGAATGTGATGCTTTTCATTGTTGTTCTGACTGCCTTTTTTATTGTTACATACTGATAAATCAGTTTGATCAGTAACTAAGAATTGAACCAAACTGATGACTTTCGGAGCAACATAAAAGCTTAACCATAGAATTTTTATAATGAGCTTAATTATATTGGAGCTTTTATGCTCAGTCACACAGAATATAAATTGTTTGCCAATAAAATTCTTGTGTGTCTCTTACAGTGGAGCATTGAGTTGTCTTATAAAACAAATGAGCATTCAGTCCACTGCAGAATTTCTGCCAATTCCCCAAAGGTCTCAAGTAGAAATAGCATTCTTCAGTATATCTAGTCAGCATAATAAAATGGCTCCACTTCAGTGTGTGGTTTGTTAATGTCTGGAGTTGGTCCCAGGTTCTGAGCTGGGAAGCACTTGGGCCTTTTTGCGAGAATGATGAAATAGAGAATAATCGCTTCAAGTGGGATATGTTAGGGAGTGATATTATTCTTTTAAAAAATCCTTTGGTTTTTCTATCCGAAGGCTTTTGAAAACAGTATTTTTTGTTGGTGTTCAGAAGACACTCTTGTATCTAAATTTGGATAAAGTTATATAAATCAGAGTCCTGCAACCCAGAGATAGCAGTGTATACCAGGTAATTAATGAAATCACTTGTGGTTCAGGCTGTAAACATCCCTGCTAGAGCAACTACTTTGCAGTAAATTTAAAATTAACAATACACACTATAATCTTAAAGGGAATCCTTTTTCTTATGATCTTTTTGATCATTTTTATGATTAGACTGTGTAAATGAAGTATTTTGCCCTGGCTGGTTAGAGTGGTGGTTAGAGCATTGGCCTGCAGACCAGAGAGACACGGATTCGGTTTCTGCTTTGGGCACATACCTTGGTTGCAGTTTGTCCCCAGCCCTGGTTGGGGTTGTGTGGGTGACAACCAGTCAGTTTGTCTCTCTCTCCCTCCCTCCCTCCTGCTCTATCTGAAGATAAATACACAAATGTCCTCAGGTGAGGATAAAAAAAGAAGAAGAAGAAGTATTTCTACTAAAAGTGATAATGCTTCTTATTCTACTGGTGAAAAGTTATAGTACTATTTTTTTAATCCATTATATTGGCTAGTTTGTAATAATATGTTTTTATTTCCTGCTACCTATTATGTATGGTAGTCTTTGTGTCATAGACTCTTTATGACTTTTGTGTCATAAGGCTTTCTAAAATTTGGCATCTATAAAAATATGATGAAGCAGCCCTGGTCGGTGTGGCTCAGTTGGTTGAGCATCCTCCCGTGCACCGATAGGTTGCCAGTTCAATTCCCGGTCAGGGCATATACCCAGGTTGTGGGTTTCATCCCTGGTTGGGGTGCATACAGATCAATGTTTCAGTCTTATATCAGTGTTTCTCTCCCTCTCGGCTTCCTCTCTCTCTCAAATCAATTTAAAAGAAAAACGTTTTTTTAATTTTAATATGATGAAACAGCATTATTTTAGATGATTTAATAACCAGTGAAGAAATATTTTTTTATTTTCTTGAGTACTATCTGAAAGTGGATTGTTAAAAAACTATTTGAGATTTCTAAACACTCTGCTATTGTTTAATTTTATTACCTCTCACATACATAGAAGTATTATGATAAAATAGGGTGTGACTTATAGAATATGACATTTTTTTGTTGTTGTTTTTAAATCCTCACCCGAGGATTTTTTTTTTCTATTTATCTTCAGACAGAGTGGGAGGGGGAGAGGAAGAGAGAAACATTGATGTGAGAGAGACATATCGACTGGTTGCCTCCTGCATGACCCCAATGAGGGCGGGGGACAAACTGCAATCGAGGTACATGCCCTTGACCAGAATCGAACCCGCGACTAATTGATCTGCGGGCTGAAGCTCTAACTGCTGATCCAAACCAGCCAGGGCTAGAATATGATCATTCATAAGCCAAAGTCACATTCATTTTATTGTGAACATTTCATCTGCTCTTGCAATAATTTCAGATAATTGTAGTGTAAAACAGGGTAAGTCACTGATAAGATACTAGGAGAGATTTTTATTTTATTTTATATGTTTTTATTGATTTTTTTAGAGAGAGAGGAAGGGAAAGAGAGATAAAAACATCAATGTGAGAGAGAAACATCAGTTGGCTGCCTCTTGCATGCTCCCCACCAGGGATCAAGCTCGAAATTCAGGCATGTGCCCTGACCGAGAATTGAACCAGAACCTCTCAGTCCATGGAATGACACTCAACCCACTGAGCCATACCAGCCAGGCAGATTTTTATTGTTTTTTAAAGCCATATTCACTGAAATTAGAATAATTATTCTCTCATCAGGGTTCTAAAATTGTATCTCATTTTATATGATCCTCATGCCCAGACTTTAAGGGAGTAGTTAGCTTTAGGTCTTTGGAATAACTCACCAAAGATTTTCTAGTTATGTATGTTGTACCTGTTTCTTGGAGCTAGACTATAACTGGTTTTACATTTGGCTTTTATTTTTTTTATTTTTTTATTTTTTTATCCTCACCCGAGGACATTTTTCCATTTTTTGTACAGACAGAGTGGGAGGGAGAGAGAGGAAGAGAGAGAGAGGGAAACATTGATGTGAAAGGGACACATCGAGTGGCTGCCACCCGCATGACCAACCAGGGCCGGGGACAAACTGCAACCGAGGTACATGCCCTTAGCGGGAACCAAACCCAGGTCTCTCCGGACCGCAGGCAGACGCTCTAACCGCTGAGCCAAACCGGCCAGGGCACATTTGGCTTTTAAACATACTTTTTAGATAAGTTGTTTTCTTTCCCTTCAACAATACCTATTTTTGATTATTATTTTTGGTGTTTATTATTTCTATAGATTTTCATTTGACAAAATACATGTTGTGATAACCTGCAAGCTTCTACCTTTGATTTATACTTTTATTTTTCAGTATATGGCCCATATTACTTAAGTCAGTTTAATTTTCCTCAATAATATTTTTTGAAATGTTTACACAGTAGCTTGTAAATAAATTAAATTGTAAATATTTATCTTTTAATTAATATTTTACCATAAAAAGAAATTACTTTTTTCTTTATCTTGATATCTCACCAACATTCCCAGGGCTATATGTATGACTAACCTGAGTAACAATTTGTGATGATGAAGAGGTAAAGAAATGTGATCTGCCCAACGAACTCTTTATTACTAGAAATACTCAAGAGAAGCTGAATAAAAGGCAGGGTAGGGTAGGTAGGAATTTCTGTTGTAGATGGAAGGTTGTATTAGATGACCTCTAAGATCCTTTCCAACTCTAACATCTTATCATTCATTTATACTGTAAGGCCACTATAATTTATATAGTGAGAAGGAAATCTATTTTTTTGAAAATAAAATAAACATTTTGGATTATGAGTAATTTTGTGTTTACCAAAGCAGTAAGATAGCCTATAAGGCTTTAAACATAAAAATTCACATTTGAAGATTCCATTATATTTTTAGTTTAATATATGTATTCCTTAAATGTCAAGTTGAATGTGAACTGTGTAATCACAGTGTTCTGGATACATATGTTAAATTGCTTTATTTTTGCTTTTCTGATGTAGAGTTCACCAATAAAGCCAGTACCCATGAGGGAGTTTCAAAAAACAGAAGACATGAGAAGATATTCACATCAGAACAGGTTTGAAAAACCAATTCAATTCATTTGTTTCTGTTTTAACACTCAATAAAAAGCATGAAATAATTTTAGTTTCGTATAGATCTATGTATCGTGAAGACATTTAGATACTGTGTGTTTTAGATAATTGTGTATTTAGAGTGATAACGTACCTTTGTGCTCATGTCAGTAGCAAAACAAGTAAAATTGATTTATTGATTCTAAATTCAGATCACCTAAAGCATCACCTAAAATTATTTGATTTGAAGATATTTAATTACAATGAGATTTTATAGTGATATAGTATGGATTTATGTATAAAGAGAGCTCAGTGAAATTCCCAGCCTATGGTTTTTTTTGCTTCCTCTCTGTTTTTATGAACTCTTAAAGCAGTAGACTTTACATACCTGTTCTTAAACAATAGTATATTTACTGTGTAGAAGTGTCATACATAGTTCTTTACTTATATTTTACAGGATATTTTAGTTGTTTAGGGGACTGAGATATAGATGGATAAAGAAAATGAGGAGAATAATTAAAGAAATTCATAACGTGGCCTTTTATAGTCTTATCAGTCAGTTCATAGTGATTTAGTTAAATTTTATTATCTTTGAAATTTATCTCAAAATGGCTTTTTATTTGCCATGTCTACTTATACTGAGTATGTGATCTTCTGATAATCCAATTTTATTCAGGGATTTCCTATTACATTTTCCCACTTTGGGTGGACCTAGACTCTATCTCTTGGCCTTCTTAGTCCCTACATTTATCATAAGTAAAGTTCAAAATCTCCAGGGCTTAGGAGAAACTCTCAAAGTGAAAGCCACATTTTTTTTGCTCAATTGCTTTAGGTATTAGTTTTCTAATGCTTATGTAACAGATCATCACAAATTTAACAGCTTAAAACACACCCATTTATTATGTCACAATTCTGCTGGATAGAAATTTAAATAGGATTTTCTTGGTTCTCTGCTTAGAGTTTTGCAAGGCTGACGTCAGGGTGTTGGCTGGCCTGGATTCTTATCTGGAGACCCTGGGGGAGAATCCCATTCCAGGCTTATACAGGTTGCTGGCAGAATTCAGTTCCATGCAGTTACAGACTGAGGTTCCTGTTATCTTATTGGTTATCAGCTGGGAGTCATTTTCAGCTGCTAGAGTCCACCTACATTCCTTGGCTTGTGACTCCTTGTCAAGCCAGCATTGATGGGCCAGATCCTTCTCACATTTTAAATCTGTCTGATTTCCCCTTCAGCTGCATCTCATAAACTCAGTTGCCTTCCTCTTCTCCTTTTAAGGGCCCATGTAATTATATTAGGCCCACCTGGGTAATCTCCCCATTTTAAGGTCAGCTGATGAGTAACCTTTAAGTGTATTGTATTCATTGGAGTAACACTAGGTGTGGAGATCATAGAGGCCAAAAATCTGCCTATCAAACCAAAGTGTCAGCCCTGACTGGTGAGGTTCAGTGGTTAGATCATTGGCCCATGCATTGAAGGGTCTTGGGTTCTGTTTCTGGCCAAGGCATGTACCTGGGTTGCAGGTTCCATCTACAGCCCGGGACCAGGTGTACGTGGGAGGCAACCAATCAACGTGTCTCTCTCATATCAGTGTTTCTCTCTTTCTCTTTCTCCTTCCCCCTCTCCCTCCTCCTCCCTCACTTCCACTCTCTAAAAATCAATGAAAAAAATATCCTTGGATGAGGATTAACAAAAGAAAAAAAAGTTCCTGTTTTTACTTATTTTGTTGTTGTTAATCCTCACTAAAGGATATTTTTCCATTGGTTTTTCTTTTTAAGATGGCGTAGGAGGGAGGGAGAGAGAGAGAGAGAGAGAAACATCAATGTGATAGTGACACATCGATTGGTTGCCTTCTGCAGGACCCCAACTGGGCCGGAGTTCATACCTGCAACCCAGGTATGTGCCCTTGACTGGAAATTAAACCAGAGAGCCTTTGGTGTGAGGACCGATGCTCTAACTGCTGAGCCAAACCGGCCAGGGCCTGTTTTTACTTTATTTTAGAAGCTGTTGGTTCTTTATTGTCATGCTACTCAAAGTAGTGGATTTTAAAATAATTATTTTATTCAACATTTTAGTTGTTTTCATTGGAAGAATCATTCAGAGTGCCTAATCTGCCACAGTGCTAGAAACTGAAGCCATGATTACAGTTGTACTTCATTACCCACAGGGGATTGGTTCCAGGACCTCTTCAGATTCCAAAATGTGCAAGTTTGAGTTGGTTCTCTGTGTCCCTGGGTTCCACACTGGTAGATTCAACCACCCATGGATTAAAAATGTTGGTTGAGCCCTGGCCGATTTGGCTCAGCGGTTAGAGCGTTGGCCTGCGGTCTGGAGAGACCAGGTTCGGTTCCCACTAAGGGCACGTACCTCGGTTGCAGTTTGTCCCTGGCCCTGGTTGGGTAGTGTGGATAGCAGCCACTCGATGTGTCCCTTTCACGTCGATGTTTCTCTCTCTCTCCCTCCCACTCTATCTGAACAAAATACCGAAAAATGTTCTCGGGTGAGGATAAAAAAAAATTGGTTGTTGAGGGCTCAGTGGATTGAGCATCAGCTCATGGACTGAGAGGTCATGGTTCAATTCCCAGTCAGAACACATGCCCAGGTTGCAAGCTTGATCCCCAGTGGGGGGCGTGCAGGAGGCAGCTAATCAATGTTTCTTTCTCATCAATGTTTCTCTCTCTCCTCTGTCTAAAAAATCAATAAAAACATTTTTTTAAAAAAAGAGGAACATACAGTGCTTCTGGGGTTTCAGATATTCTGCCTCTCTCTTTAAATTCACCCTGAGGAATTGTTCAAGACCTTGACTTTGACTTGGTTTTGATACCAAGCAGAATAACTGACACCACCAAGGAACATGATATTAGACTCCTGAGGTATAATCACCTCAAAAAGGGGGCAGCAAACCAAACAATAGATGCCATATGAAGTAGAACAGAAGCACCAACATTTTAAGTATATTTAAATAGTTAACAGATGACAAAAGCAATAAAAATCTTTAACAATAAAACCAATAAAAACCAAATGGAAACATATGATATAAAATTTACATTTAATTAAAAAAAAAGTTGGTTGAATCCTGATGTGGAAACTGCTGATACAGAGGGCCAGCTGTACGTTCAGTTGGGTGTTTCAAATCACTAGACCTTAGTATAGTCTTTGAATAGGAGCTCAGTAACCAGTTAAGCTCTCTGATCAGTGCATACCGTTGACCCTTGAAAAACACTGGTTTGAACTGCACAGGTCCACTTTTACATGGATTTTTTTCTTTTTTTTATTCCTCACCCGAGGATATTTTTCTGCTTATTATCAGATAGAGTGAGAGGGAAGGAGGGAGAGAGAGAGACACAGACAGAGACAAACATCAATGTGATAGAGCCACATAGGCTGGTTGCCTCTCGCACGACCCCACCAGGGCCAGGGATGAACCGCAACCGATGTACGTGCCCTTGACTGGAATCGAATCCACGACTCATTGGTCTGAGAGCCGACGCTCTAACCGCTAAGCCAAACTGATCAGGGCTACATGGATTTTTTTCAATAAATTACTGTGCTATTTTTGATCCACGGTTGGGAGTACACAGATGTAGAGGGCCAACTTCATGCATTAATCTACGTCATTGACATGAGCATCTGTGGATATTGGTATCACTGGGGGTGGGGGCTGGAACTAATTTCCCATAGATACTGAGGGACAACTAAGTTTTTGGGGTGTCAGAAGTTATATGTAGATTTTTGACTGTGGTAGGGGGTAGGGATTATCCACAGGGGATTGGTTCCAAGACCACTACATTGTTCAAATGTCAACTGTACTTCATTTGTTTAGTTAGATATTTGCTCAATATCCTTGTGCCACTTCTGTGTACCAAGTACTTTAGTCAAAGTTTTTGACCTCCTAGAGTTTGTATTCAAATGGAATTGTTCATTAGAACCCAGAAAAACAAAATCACCCTGAAGTGACTGACAACTCTCAGGCTACCAAGACCTGTCTTAAACAAAAAAAATCTTATGTCTTCCACTTACAAAGACTTAAAAAAATTGAGTCAGTTTAACAAACTGCTAATTGCTCATTAGTCATTGCTGGAAAAAAAAGTTGCCTACTTTTTTCTCTCAACTCTCCTTCCCTCCCCTCACACCCACCATGTACATTGCTCCCCACCTGCCCCTTCCACACACACATAGACACTACCTGCCTGGGGGATAATAAAGGTAAAAAGATAAATTATGGTAAATTATTAAGTATTTTATAGTTATTTGCTAAGATGGATTAAGTAAATATAAAGTTAAAACTAACAAAAATTGCCCAGCCAGTGTGACAGTGGGTTGAGCATTGTCTCATGGACTAAGAGGTCCCAGTGCGATTCCCAGTCAGGGCACATGTCCAGGTTGCAGGCTCGATCCCCAGTGGGGGGCGTGCAGGAGGCAGCCAATCGATATTTATTTCTCACATCCCTGTTTCTATCTCTCCCTCTCTAAAAAATCAATAAAAACATATTCCTAAAAAAAAAAAAAAAAAAAAGAACTATCAAAAATTATCATTTTTTAAATTATATTTTTAAGAAAGGGTTTACTTACCATCTGAATGGCAATATAGTTCAGGAGAGATGATAGCATCATGCTAGGTTTTGTAAAGTTTATTAATTTCTATTAAAAGCAATATAGAATTTAAAAACTTTTGGCTAATAATTATAGTTTAAAATTTCAGGTCCAAAATGTCAAAAAGTTGCTGTTGTAACATTGTTAGTTTTAAAGACACAGATGAATAACAGAGACTTGAAACAGTAAATCCAGTTCAGGGAAAAGATAAATACCAAACCATAAGAATTAACACTAATAAAACTGAGAGACAAGTTTTACTATTTTTTAAACATCAGATCAGGTTTCATTATTGTCTTAGAAATAAAAACCAACAGTGTCTTTACTTTTGTTATTAAAACCGCTTCCTCAGTTGAAGGTAGGAGTAGGAGTGCTTTACATGTACAGTTACAGGTTCTGTAGTATTCCAGGTTTCTGTTGATAAGTGACTTTGTATATAAAACATCTCCATTTACATGTATCTTGTTTCAGTCATGGTAGTAAAAAAGATAATAGTTATTTGTGCTATAAAGAAATGATACTGATCGAAAAGTGATCTCAAATAACTGTATTGTCAGCATTGGCTGATCATAGACAGTTGTTAGCTGTCTATAGCTTGATCAGTGATATCATCACGTGAAACATGAGTTGGAGACATCAGGTATTCCTGTGGCTTAATTTAATGACTTGGGCTCGAGTTTACAAAATTTATTTAGTCTTTCAGTGCTGACTAGACAGTTTACCTGTTGATTAGTAGAAAGCTACATTAACAATGAAATTTCACTTGTCTTTTATATATCTGTCTCTCTTATCAAAAGTTTTTTTTTTCTTTTATGGGTTAGGGTTCCAGTTGAGCCATCTTCTTTCTTGTCACTATCACCAAGTCACAATCAGGTAAAAAATAATTTCTAACTAAGATGGTTTTCTTCTTTTATAATACTTAAATTATTATTATATTAATTGCCAGATATTTATAAACTTCACTCTCCTCAGTCATACAGTTAATATAACATGTACACCTGATACTTGCTAACAGTGTTTTTAGATACCAGACAAAAAATAAATTCTGACCCACATGATGACTTTATAGGACATATAAAAACAGTGCAAAAATGAGAAAAAAGTTATTCATAAACACATTTAATGAAATGTTAAGTGACTGCAAAGTACAAGTTGGGTCGGTAATAGTTCCCTAAATTGATAAGTTGATCTTTATCCCCACTTGCATATCCAAACTGACTTTTGTTTCAGGTATCACATACAGACTTAGAACTTCACCGGAGAAGAGAACAATTAGTAGAGCGCGCTCGGAGAGAGGCACAGCTTGCTGCCTTACAGTATGAGGAGGAAAAAATAAAGACCAAGCAGATTCAGAGAGATGCTGTCCTGGACTTTGTCAAGGTGAGTCCTTTGAAGTCATTCTGTTATAGTCCTAAAGTTTCTTAGAATTGTTAATTTGTTTTTCTGAGGCTATCATTTTTTATTGTCTTAATTAAAATGTCATCATTTTTTTTCGTTATATAAGGAATCTTAAGTAAATGTAACTGTCTCCTACTTGTGGTTAGATTAATTTTCCTTATGTTGATAGGCCTTAGGACAGTTAGAAGTTAGGATTTTGCTCTTAGGACAGTAGTCTCTTCTCTTAATTAGCAATCACTTTACTGTCCAGCTGCCATTTTCTCAATCTCTAGTGCATTAGTAAAGGTCAATAATATTATGACCGGGAAAGTGCTATGCAAATGTAAACTATTACCTAACCCAGCTAACTTCCTCACTCTACTGAATACCAAAATTTGTGATACTCACAGGCCTCTTTAGAGTCATCTTTGATTCTTTCCTTTCTATGCTCTCCATTCCTACTCAATTAACTCCTGTTAATACTTCTTTTTTCTTTCTCCTAACATTTTACAGCCTCTGTAGTTGCCTCTAAACCTGGTTCATTATTTTGCCTGTATTGCTTAAATCTTACCTTTCTGAAATGCCTTGGATATTTTTTTCATAATTAAATAATTGTTTGTATTTTTGTTTGTTTAATATCTGTCTCTCCCATTTATCTGTAACTTCCATGAAGACAGGAACCACATGTGTCTTCTTTATTCACTGCTATATTCCTAAATCTGAGCAGATCTTAGCCTATAGTAAAGCTCAGTAAATACTTGTTAAGTGAATGATTGAATGAATGAATCACTTGTGTCTTCCAAATGCTTTCCTGTGTTTCTTTTTCTTTTTTTGTCAGTCTTCTCTTGAGGATATTTTTGCATTGATTTTTAGCTAGAGTTGGAGGGAGGGAGGGAGAAAAAGTGAGGGGGAGAGAGAGAGAGAGAGAGAGAGAGAGAGAGAGAGAGAGAGAAAAACATCGATATGAGAGAGACACATAGATTGGTTGCCCCCTGCATGGCCTGGTCGGGCCAGAGATCGAATTTGAAACCCAGGTACATGCCGTTGACCAGGAATCAAACCTGTGACCTTTCAGCCACAGGCTGACGCTCTAACAGCTGAGCCAAACCAGCCAGGGTTCTCCTGTGTTTCTTTTTTTTTTATCCTCACCTGAGGACATTTTTTGCATTTGTCTTCAGATAGAGCGGGAGGGAGAGAAGGAGGAAGAGAGAGAGAGAGAAAAAAACATCGACGTGAGAGAGATACATCGAGTGGTTGCCACCCACACAACCCCAACTGGGGCTGGGGACAAACTGCAACCCAGGTACACGCCCTTAGTGGGAACCGAACCTGGGACTCTCTAGTCCGCGGGCCGATGCTCTAACCATTGAGAAAACTGGCCAGGGCTCTCCTGTGTTTCTTAACTCTAACCGAAGACCATCTTCTTTAAGTACCATATACATGATAAATTTTTTTTAATGTCAGCCTATAATAATTATGATTTCTGATACTCAGAGAGGATGATAATTTGCCTAAGATTAAATATTCAACTAGTATATGGCAGCACACGGATTCTAATCAAGACAGGCTGAATAAAAAATGGAAATAAGTTTGATGGAAAAGAAACAGTTTCTAAAGAACAAAAAGACAGACTGGCTCCAAATCCTATTCTATGACCACAATGTTATATTGACCCTTAATAACTAATGGCTAACTCATACAGTGTCATAAGTCCTGTTCTATGCATTTTAAATAAATTAACTCATTTAGCTTGCCTTCTGGAGAAGTCATGTAATTAGTAAGAGATAATCACATTGTAGACACTCTTGATTCAGTGTCAAATTAGAGTTTGATCTTGATCTGTTAGGCAGAAGAGAATAATTATAAGTTCTTAAGCAGGAGAAAAACATGAGAAGAAAGATACTTCTGAAAACTAATCTGTTGGTGTTGAATATGTTAGAAAGAGACTAAAAGAAAGAAGGAGCATACCGAAATGGAGAATAATTGCAGTAATTAGACTAAGGTGCAAAATAAAGGCATAAAATGAGATGATTTCTAAGGTTCCTAAGGAGAAGCATTGTTGAATAGTGGTAAGAGCTTAGAATCAGAAATAGCTGAATTTGAATCCTGCTTTGCTTCTCAGTATGTACTTTACATTTGGAAAGTTACTGAACCATTCTGTGCCTTTAGTTTCCTTATACGTATAACATGTAACTGTTAAATATTAACTATTTCTGAATTATTAAGGATACAGATAATACTTTTATTAGTATGGGGAGTGCTACACACCCTACCACCAAAGTGAATTTTAAAAATTATAAGAGAGTTTAGTTCAGTGGTTAGAGCATCGGCCCGTGGACTAGAGAGACCTGGGTTTGGTTCCTGTTAAGGGCACGAACCTCAGTTGCAGTTTGTCCCCGGCCCCGGTTGGAGTCATGTGGGTGGCAGCCAGTTGATGTGTCTCTCTCACATCAATGTTTCTCTCTCTCTCTATCTAAAGATAAATGCAAAAAAAAAAAAAGATGTTCTCCGGTGTGGATAAAATATAAAATAAAAATTATGAGAGAGATTTCAAGAGAAGCATCATTATGTCTTGTACATAGATGTGTAGTGAGTGTGGACTAAATCATTGAAGATGAGCTGGGAGGAAAAGTCCCAAAGAAAGATTTTGAGGCCAAAATAAAAGGTTTTAATAGGAGTGTAGCATTGTGGGAAGAATGTAGGATTTTGGGTCAGAATACATAGGTATGAATCTCGTTTATGCTCCTGATCAATTTTTCAACATTGCATATATCACATAACCTTTCTTATCCTCAGTTTTCTTATCTTTAATGATTGTTTATCTCACAGAGTAAAAAGAAAGATCACTTGAGATACTGTATATGAGAACACATTGTGAAGCACTGACTATACAGATGTTATAATATTGTTATTTGATATAATAACAGAAATTAGCAAATTGGGAAAAGGAGCCAGTTGATTTGGAAAATTGTGACTGTTTTTGGATGTGGTGAATGTAAGGTGAGAATGTGGTTTCCCAGTAGTGTGCCCACAGGCAGTTGATATGCAAATGTGAAATTTGCTGATAGGTAAGAGCTAAAGCTGTTAGTATTAGAGTGATGTCTGAAGCCATTAGAGAATGAGAGAATATAGTGAGAGAGCACTACTTTTTGAGTGTGTTTGTATACATGTATATATAAAAAACATAGTTTTAAAAAATAGATGCTTATAGACATGAAAATAATGTTATTTTATTGCCTTTCCTCATTTTAGTTGTAAGCTATTTAAGGGAAAGAGCAATATCTTCTAATCAGAATCTAGAAAAATGTTATCTACAAGAGATACAGAAATTAATATTATTATTTTAGTCAATAGAATTTTTCATTTCTAGTGGTTTAGTCAAGTTCCCTTTGGTGGGGGGGGGGCTGGGGGACTATAGCAGAAAGCATCACACAGTCCACAAAAACAACAACCCCCCTTAGATGGCGAGGTAAGTCTATATAATCACCTTTACTTTGGAATTTTTTATTGCAGTGGAAATGCAATGTTTGGCATGTGATTATCATGTGTTTTCAATGATCAAAGTATTGCCATTTTCTCTTTTCCTCACAAAATTCAGGAGTTTATCAGAATCTGTAGATCGGGGTTTTTTAAAACTATATACATCCATCTGAAGATTATTTACTTTCCTCCCCATCCCCACCAAAGGGATCATTTTCCTCATCCACTGTTGAAGCATTTCATGTAGTGAGAGAGAGTCCTGAGAGGGATATCCAGCACAGGTAGTAGTGTCAGTATTGAACAAAAAAAGAGTCTGCATAGTATTTTCAACCTCACTGCCCATTTTCTGAGTGTGTATGTTATTGATTATAATTATACACATTAGATAATACACTCTTCCTTTTTTCACCCCCATTTCTTTCTTGATGGTCATTCTAGAGAATTCATTATCTAAAATTTAAAGTTTCTCAGGAAAATAACAGTTCTAAAATTTCCAATTATACTCTTGTCTGAGAAAGGTAATAAAGAGATGCCTAGACTAGAAATTATGACTCTTGAGTTGATTGTTTTTATTTGTCACTGGCTCACTAAAGGACAAATTCTTTATGTTACTGCTCCATCTGTACTTCAGCTTTCTCTTCTGTGAACAAAGAATAATTAATCTCTGTTCCCTCTTTGCTTTAGAAAGTTTTTAGGCAGTAAGATCATATTTGAAGTCGTTAAAGCTCTTTGGAAGAAAATTATACTCAAAGCCAACTTATTGGGTATTATGGAATGTGAATGCCAAATGATATTGAATGGGGTCCTATATGTTAGCATCTTCACAAGTATGTCTTAATATGTCTCTTTGCTTGTGTATTTGTGAAATATGTCACATGTGTGCAGAGTTTGTTTTTGACATTTCTTCATTTTCTCCACCTCTCCAGTGTCCCTTCCCATCCAGAAGGTCTCAACACACTGATGATAGTGCCTTGTTAGTGGTAAGACTCTTGCACAAATGGAGTTTTAAATTGCTGTGTCTAGAGATTGGAGACCAGCTATTGTATTTTTCATCCAGAAAGTATCTAAATATCATAAAACATGATGGGCATCATTACTAAATGCTTTGCAAAATAGCTAGAACTATTTTCCTACATTACTATTCACGATTTACCCAATGATCCAGTATTCTACAACTATGAGTAAAATGTTTGTTAATGTTTTCAAAAGTAAAGCATTTGCATTGAGAACCATATTGGCTTTGTATGTGTGTTGGGAGTTTTTCAAATGTTATTTCTAATTCCAGCTGCATTTATTTTATTAATCATTAATTTAGCTTATGAGTCACCTGTGTGCTAAATGGATTTCTTTACTCCATGATGCTAATTACACACTGTATATTTGTCATCTTATTTTATCATCTCAAGCTACTGAAAATCCCAAACTTTCCTCACCCGAGGATATTTTTCCATTTTTTTTTTTGTACAGATAGAGTGGGAGGGAGAGAGAGAGAGAGAAACATCGACGTGAAGGGACACATCGAGTGGCTGCCACCCGCACAACCAACCAGGGCCGGGGACAAACTGCAACTGAAGTACATGCCCTTAGCGGGAACCGAACCCGGGTCTCTCCGGACCGCAGGCCAACGCTCTAACCGCTGAGCCAAACTGGCCAGGGCGAAAATCCCAAACTTTAAAAAATTACTTGCGTCTCAATGTTATCTCTCCATGCCCATTTTTAAACCCAGGGAAAAATTAAATTGGAATGCTATTTACTGATCCTTTTTAAACCTGGTTTACTTTTATTGCCTGTTTCATCAGCGGAAAATCAGTATAACATGAGAATTTTATTGAAAGTTTTACTTAAATCAGCCTTGATAGATAATTCTAACCATTTACATTAAGTGTCTTTCCCATCATGTTTTATGTTATTTTTTTCACAGTAGTATTGAAAACTAGCAGTTCAAAAGTCTGCTGTCTATACCAACTCTGTCTTATGTGCTAGTAACTGTCATCATTGTGCATGCTACTGCATGAACTGCATACTTCAGCATGAGAATCCTAGTACATTAATTTCCATTGTCCGGTCAAATTTCTGTGTGTTCTGCAGTCATCATTTCCTTTGAGATAGATAAAAGTACATTTTAACTGGGCAATCTTACAGATAAATATAACCAGCAGCTTCTGGAAGTTAACTGGCATGAGAAGCAACTAAATAATTTAAATTACTGCAGAAACAAAATATTGAGAGCCTTTGATGATTCAGACATCTTACCAGAATTATCTCATACTCTCCTCACAGCAACCTTAAGGTTAAGGTTACCACCATTTTACTGAGGCACAGAATGTATCTTGTCCAGAATGGGACTTGTCCAAGGTCACATAGCTAGGAAGTGCCAGGCTGGGTTTAAATCTAGATCTGGCTGACTTGAGAATCTTCATTAAACACCATGCTATTGCCTCCCATACTATAATTGAAAACAATTTAGGAAACCAAAGATGAGATTTACTAACACATATAGTGAGTGATATAAGTCTGAGTGCCCAAACTTTTTTGTCAAGGAAAAAGTGGAACTTGAAAAAACAACAACAAAATCCCCTTAGCATGAAATGTGAAATGGCCTTCAGACTTTTCAAAACACATGCACTTGTATTTTAGTTAATCAGTATTCATGTCTCACCTAAATTAGATGGCCTTTACTCTTTCCACCATCTTGGAGCCTGAGGAGGCCTACTGGGAACATGACTTCTATAACGACAAATGTGTCTGTAAGGCTGTGGTCCAAGGCCATTTTGTCGGCTATAAGTGGGGTCTCGAAGGTGTTGGTGCTCAAGATGAAACTGAATGCTATCTAGGCAAGAGATGTGCTTATGTGTACAAAGCAAAGAACAACACAGTGACTCCTGGTGGCAAACGGAACAAAACCAGAGTAATCTGGGGAAAGGGAACTCATGCTCACGTAAATGGGATGGTTCATGTTAAATTCTGAAGCAACCGCCTTGCTAAGGCCACTGGACACAGAATTCATGAAATGCTGCACCCCTTAAGGATTTAAATATTGAAAAGCAAATAAATAAAATGGATTTGTTCTCATTTTTTTTTTAAAAAAAAAGGCAAGGGCCATGCCTCACATATTTTTGTGTGCCAAATAGTATCCAACGCTGCAAAAAAGTCATATTTTAAATGCTACCTTTAATCTTCCCAAAACTACTCTTCAGTGGTTTCATATGATAAAATAAAGTCCATATTTCTTAACACAGCCTACAAGGTCCATAGACTAAAATTCAGACTTCTTAACGTGACTTGTAAGCTCTTGCATATTCTGGCTACTGTCTATCTCATCTCTAGGTTCATGCTATACCATCAGTTTTCAGCTTTTCAAATCTGTCAAGCCCTTTCCTATCTAGGAACTTTGCAAATGCTGTTCCCTCTGCATGGAATGCCTAACCCTCCCAGCTTATACCTCTTGGTTAATTCCTACTCATCTATCTGATATCAGTTCAAATGTCACATCTTTAAGATGGCTTTTCTAAACTCTCCACCCCCAAATGAAGTTTATGTCTCTATTGTTAATTTTTTTTCATAGTCTTTTTAGGTAGGTGTTTATTACTTTATATCTCTCCCTTATCAGACTACTAGACTGTAAGCTTCATGAGTCCAGGGATATTCTCTGTTGCATTTACATATGTATACTCAGTCCCTATCATAGTTCCTGGAATATAGTAGGTGCTCAATAAATATTTCCTGAATGAACCTGTAAATGCTATGCATCTGATAATGCTCATTAAGTTTCATGATGAAAAAGTCTGATGATATATAGCAAGGTAAATGTTGAGTTTGATTTAAAGAACTTGAAATAATATTAGTAATATTTAATAACAGTTATACTAACATTCTCTTAGGGCTGCTCTTGTTGCTTTCATCTGTGTCCCATCTGCATCTATATCCCATGTCTAGATGCTTTCTCTTCCCTCCACTCCTTTTTTCCTTCTTTACCAACATAGTGGCTTTTTGCTCTTTTATATTTGAAATTGACAGTAATTCCAGTACATTTGATTATAAGGAGATCTCAACAGGTAAAGTATACACATTGTATTACTGTTGTCACAGTTTTGTTCTTTGGTACATTTCTTCACTTTTTTCTGCCTTAAGATAGGTTATGTTGCACTGCATATCACATGCTTTGGGGTGTGTGGAGGGGGGAGATATTACTATCTATAAATTCTCATTAAAAATAGTTGTATTATTTTATTGACTACCTACACACCTTTTTTCTACACACCCACATGTTCTTGTTCATTTATTCCATGATTCAGATATTTGTGATCCTAATTTAAATGTCTTAAAATTATTTAACTAATAAATCCTTTAACATCAGTAAGCCTTTGGCATTTTGTTGTTTTAGTAGGTACACTCTTATCCAGCATCCTTTGTGGAAGTCCTGTCTTCTCTGATTTCCATTCCCTACCAAATGAAAAAATTATCATGTTTTGAGCAGCTTTTATCTCTAATCAAAATTGTGTACAATAAATGCTAATACTCCCTCTAACATATCTAATTAATTGTATGTAAGCTGGTGAATGGATAAAGGATTTAAAGAAAAGGAAAATTCTACTTAACCTCTTATAGGTCATTTGAACTTGCTCAGAGGCAGAAATGAAATGTTGGTTCATCCTTAAGGTGTGATACACAATTCTCATACTCTGGCTTCTTACATCAGAGCTATTAAATTCAATTACAGTACATCCATTTTGGGTTAATATTGAAAAAATAGTGTTCCTCATGCTGGTTCTGCTCACTTAAAATGAGCTCTTTGACTGTATTTTTTCTCTTGTCATAGGAACAACACAGTCCTCATTAGTTTCAATTCTATTTTCCAAAAGATAAAAATGTTCTAATTTTATTTCTAAATAGAATTGTTTTTAATAGATTATGTCTTTTGTTTCTTTATGTGGTATAAGGTATTGAAATAATTTGAATTGTAACAGGTGGAAAACTGTCTTTAAATTATGGCGTTTTCTCCAAAAAAATACTCTCTTTCTGCCCTACTAATATCTTAGTCAACTATTTGAAAGTTTGTCAGTGACCTTTCCTTTTCTAATTTTACTGACCAGATCTGCTTGCCTGCTTTCCCTGACATTTAAAAAATATATTTCTTTAATTGATTTTTACAGAGAGGGAGGGAGAGAGGGAAAGAGAGAGAGTGAGAGAGAGAGAGCGAGAGCCCACAGGGGCATGTGCCCTGACTGGGAATTCGACCAGCAACCCTTTGGTTCACGGGACAATGCCCAGCCAACTGAGTCATACCACTGGACCTGCCTGACATTTTGCTAACATAAATCTGCCTTCTGTTTCTTTCTTTCTCTTTTGAAATTTAGTCGCTGTCAGGGTTGAATCAAGTGGGCTGTGCTGGTACCCTGCCTCATTCTTCTGCCTTCACACCTCTTAAGGTATCTTTTGTTGCTGTAATTCACCAGAAACTTTGGGGAGGTGGTGTGTAGTGGATGTTTTAACTTTTCCATTGGATTGGTCTAACAGCAAACAAACTGGAATCTAAGATTGCATGAAATGTCTGATTGAAATGTCTAATTATCAGTGGTTATTCTTTTATCACGAGTTATTATTTATTTTGACTAATATATAAGATTAAATTTACTCCAGTATCTAATGTACGTGCAAAATAATTTGAGTCTCAGTCCTCAAACTGTTACTGCCAAAACCCTCTACAGTAGGGATCAAGAAGCTATGGCCCCAGGACATCTAATTTGGTAAACAGTTTTGCTGGTACGCAGCCACTCCCATTTGTTTGTGTATTTTCTGTGGCTGCTTTTGTGCTTAGCAGCAGACTTGGAATAGTTGTGATGGAGATCATATGGCCTGGAAGCCTAAATAAAGAACCTGCAGTATATTATTAAAAGCCTCTAGGGATGGTAATTCCATGTTTGTTATCATTATGATACATAAAAAATGATTAATAATTCTCACTGTAAAGAAGATCCTCTCCTTTTCTAACATCTATCGACCCTCCTGTGGGTTACACTTATTTCTTCTTTTCTTTCCAGAGTGGAAATTTTCTAGTAAATAGCAGTCTTTATGTAAGAAATCTTTTTATTTGAAAACTGTTACAATGCCACCACCCTTGTCTTCTCACTTAATAAACTCTGATCCTTTTACCTGCTTTTCCCAGCCTGTCAGTCTTCATGAACTTTCACAAGTTTTCTGCCATTTTGGCTCCACAGTCACCCACTACAAATATATCCCTCATTAGAGCTCGCCTGGTGCTGAGCATGAAACAAAGGTTTTTCACATCTTACTGAGCATTAGGTTGGCTTTTTCTGTTTTCATATTCATTTGCTCAATATCTACTATAATTCTCAAATGTTTTAATTATTGGGGCTTATTCTACCAAGAATTATAGTTGAGAAAGGCTGGATGTGAATGTGCCAAAATTTGTGTGATAAGTCTACCTTTCTATCAGACATACTGCACTGCACTGTTAAATGATTAGTTTTAAAAGATTTAGTCTTTATTTTTTGATACCCAGTTACTTTACAGAAGATATACATTATATTTAGGCATGATTTTATTTATTTTGTTGCTTAACCAGGCATACAAGTTGAGTTTATGTCAATTTCCTTTTTTTTTTTACTCTTCAGTTCTCCAAGAGTTCTCAAATTTAGCAATGGCTTGCCAGTATTTGAACTAATTATTTTAGTATCCTAGAATACAAGTCACTTAGATTTATAATTTTAATAAAAGTACATTTTTTTAAAATCATCATTTGATAATTTTTCTCCATTCTGGCTTTTTTTTTTTTTTTTTTCATTACACCCAACTGTGGATTGTCTTTTTGTGTTTTGGGAGGTGGAGAACATTTCCTGCCATTCAGTGGAATTTTTTTCAGCTCTTCCTTCTCTCATCTAGTAAAGTTGCTTATTAATATTAACTGTATTATTATACTCCTTCAACTCCTACTAATAAGTCTTTTTAAATATTTAAAAAATATTTTTCCTCTATATCTGGAATAACTTCTATTTTTTTAATTTTTCTGTTTGTGCTATTGGTCTTTGAACAGGTCTTGTTTATTAGCTAACTAGCTTTCTCTTTCTTATTTTATATTCTTTGAAAGTAAGGATAGTCTTTTATTTCTTTTATTAGTTCCTGTTATTTTAAATTAAATTAATTTATTTACATTTTTTTTTCCCTCTCAACATTCTAATTTTAGTTTATTGTCATCTGTAAACTTGATGAACGTGTTGTCTTTTTCACTAAGGAAGATGTAATACATTACTCAAGAATGCAGCTTGCTTTTAAGTCTTAATTCTCAGACTAAGAGTATCAAACCAAGGAATAGTTACCACAAAATTGTCTTCCAGATCAGTCTAAGAATTTACTCAACAGCATGGCTTCTGTGTATGTATGTAGTTATTTTAGCAGTTAAAATTCCATTTCATCTGACCCAACTCCAATTAGAAGTAAAAGATTTCTGAAATTATTGAAACTAAAAAGGACAAAAAACATGGGAGCAGATATGTGTGTGTGTTTTAAAGTTATTCTGTTCCCAAAATGTGTCATAGTTATCATAAAGTTATATTTAAATTACTGAGTATAATTAGATGTCAAGGTCTGAAAAATTGTTGTTATTCTATCTTTTCTTGATGGGCCCACAACCTGGTCATGTGCCCCTACCAGGAATCGAACCTGCGACTTCATGATGCATGGGTCAATGCTCAACCAGTGAGCCACACGGCCGGGCACCAGCACTTCTTTTTAAATTAGCTTAACTACCTTTCCTTTTTTTGTTTTGTTTTTTTTAGGTAAACTTTATACCAATTGACCTACCTCTTCCTCCTTTTTATATAGTTCCTTTGTTCAATGAATTTAAAACATTTTGGATTCAAATACTAGTCTGGAAATACAGCTACACAGGGGAATACTTTAGAAACTGTACTAGAAAAATACTACTATAGCCCTGGCCAGTTTGGCTCAGCGGTTAGAGCATCAGCCCGCAGTCCAGAGAGACCTGGGCTCGGTTCACACTAAGGGCACGTACCTCGGTTGCAGTTTGTCCCCGGCCCCAGTTGGGGTTGTGTGGGTGGCAGTCAGTCGATGTGTCCCTTTCACACACGTTTTTTTCTCCCTCTCTCCCCCTCCCACTCTACCCAAACAAAAATGGAAAAATGTCCTCGGGCAAGAATTAAAAAAAAAAAACTATTATAAAATAAAATTTTATTCTTTTCCTGTGTACATTTCCCAATAAAGTTTTCTGCCTTAGGATAATCTGTTTTCATGGTCAGGAAAAGCTTGTTATATAATAGGACTGTCTTTAGAGACTGTAATACATAAACCTTATATTCTATAGAACTAAATACAAAATTTGGCCTTAAAAAACACATATAATCATTTCTTGGCCTTTTGGCTAAGATCATGCATAGTACCTGTTCTTATCAGTGTAAAAAACATAAAAAATTAATTCATTAGACCAAATTCTTATTTCTAGACTCAATTTGAAGGAGAGTTGCATGTTTTTTTCTTTTATAATCACAATGTTTCCATAAATGTGGAGAGTACCTCTTCTTGAATAATAATAATTTATACATCTCTATTCCTCCACAGAATGATGACAGATCTAATGCTGTATCAAGTTCACCTGCAACAGAAACAGGTAATAGACCCAGAGGTGCAGTTCACCACATCAAGATTATAATTCTTTACCAGGATTTTCCTGCTGAAGTACTTTTTTTTTTTTCAATTATAGTTTGTATTCAATATGATCTTGTATTAGTTTTAGGTATACAGCATAATGTTTAGACAATCCTATATTTTACATAGTGGTCCCTTCACCCCCAGTATTTCAAGTACCCCCTTGGCTGATAAATTATCTCTTAGAAAACCGTGGCTTCCATTTCTAAGATGAGAAATAAGACAAAATTGGGAACTTTTTGCACGTTTTCAATTTTTTAATTCAACCAGTTCAACTATTCAGCCATTTGATATGAACAACTGAGCATGAGTTAGCAGTGCTATAGGTTTGCAAGAGAATATATTTGATATATTAACATTAATTCTGTCTTTATTAATATACCAAAAATAACATGATGATTAAAAATACACACAAGCAGACTTCCTGCTGTCAGTTACTTTTCTGTACCAGATTTTGTATTAACACAATTATTATCCTTTTATATCATTGTCATGTTTAATTTGATTTTTTCTTTATTTCCCATTTATTGAACTTTTGTGACATGTATTACATATTTGATGATTTCCCATCTCTTTTAATCTAATTTGCTTTCTGTGCCGATTTAGTTCATTCCCCTGCATGTTCTTTTCCTGCTGCTATCCAGAGAAACCAGGCCCAGCGCCCTGAAAGCTTCCTTTTCCGAGCAGCTGTCAGGGCAGAAACAAGTAAAGGTAGGAAGTAGTGACTGAAAGAGGGAGGAGGCTTTATACAATGACATTAACTGTTAAGTGCTTTTATTTCTTTCTTTATTTATTTTTATTTTTTGTCACCCGAGGACATTTTTCCATTTTTTGTTCAGATAGAGTGGGAGGGAGAGAGAGAAACATTGACATGAGAGAGACACACCGAGTGGTTGCCACCCACACAACCCAACCAGGGCGGGGGACAAACTGCAACCAAGGTACATGCCCTTAGTTGGAACCAAACCCGGGTCTCTCTGGACCACAGGCCGATGCTCTAACCGCTGAGCCAAACCGGCCAGGGCTGTTACGTGCTTTTAAACTTCCACCCTGAGATGTCACCTTGGCAAAAGTTTTAAACTCTGCATATTATCTGTGATCTCACTGACATTAAAAGAGAATTTGCCCTGGCCCGTTTGGCTCAGCAGTTAGAGCGTCGGCCCGTGGACCAGAGAGTCCCGGGTTCGGTTGCCACTAAGGGCACGTACCTCGGTTACAGTTTGTCCCCGGCCCCAGTTGGGGTCGTGTGGGTGGCAACCACTCGATGTGTCTCTCTCACATCAATGCTTCTCTCTCTTCCTCCTTCTCTCCCTCCCGCTCTATTCTGAAGATAAATGCAAAATGTCCTCAGATGAGGATACAAAAAAAAGAGAGAATTTTGTTTGAATTTGTTTTTATTTTTTAATTAATTAAATTTTTTTATTGATTTTTCCAGAGAGGTTGGGGGGAGAGAGAGAGAGAGAGAGAGAGAGAAACATTAATATGAGAAAGAAACATCAATAGGTTGCCTCCTGCACACAAGAGATTATCGTGTTTAAACAAATCAAATATTCTTTTAGGGCTTTAGAGAATGTTCCTCCTCTCTGTAATTAGCTCTTTTTCAGATTTTTCTGTTGATAAAAGCTGTTTTCTGTGTTCTTAAAGAAATGAATTAATAGCCCTGGCCAGTTTGGCTCAGCGGTTGGAGTGTCGGCCTGCGGTACAGAGAGACCCGGTTTCGGTTCCCGCTAAGGGCACGTGCCTCGGTTGCAGTCTGTCCCCGGCCCTGGTTGGGTCATGCGGGTGGCAACCACTCAATGTGTCCTTTTCATGTCAATGTTTCTGTCTCTCTCTCTCTTCCTCTCTCTCCCTCCCACTCTATCTGAACAAAAAATGGAAAAATGTCGAGTGAGGATAAAAAAAAAAAAGAAAGTGCTTTCCTTGCAAGAAAACTTTGATCAGATGGATCAGGGTATTTTTCCAACATTGGCAAATCATTTTTCTGTGTTACCAATTAATATTTTTTAGGTCATGCTTCACCCCTTCTTTCGTCTTCTGCACCTACAGCTGATTCTACAGATCCCATAACAAGACAGAATTCAAGGCAGAGAGAAGAAGAACTGGAATCGATAGATCAGCTACGGAAAGTGTGTACATTGCCCTGAAATTATACTTTTTCATTGATATTGTTATAGCCTGTAATCCTGCAATCACTTGTTTACATGACTTACGATTTTTAATAGAGTAAAGAAGTACCCATTGTGTAATGAATGTAAAATAAATTTTGCTATTAAGAAAGTTCTTTTCAACTGTTTACTGGGAAAACTAGATGGGTTATTCTTTAAAGTTCAATCCCTGGCTTACTCATTTGAAATTTTTTTCTGCCTCATGTAAATAATTCTTATAAAGTTATAATAATTTATATGTATGTACTCATTTATACATAACACATCATATATAGTGTGTATTTTTTTATTTTGGAGTTAAAAGAGAATCTAGTTTTGTTTGTATTTTTAATCAGAAAATTATAATTTTTCTTGTTTTAATCAGAAAATTATAATTTTTCTTGTTTTATTTTGCACCACTGTGGCCTGACTGCCATGCATATGTAATTGATCTCTTTAACCTACTGACTTAAGATAGAAGGATAAAATAGGGATTATAAAACTTAACTTATTTGTATTTTATCTTGATTTTTTAATAAATATATTCCATTGTAACTCCTTTATCTCCTATGTGTCAACCATTCTTCAGTTAATATATTACATGTTTCCCTGTTCTTTTAGCATATTGAGTACCGGTTGAAAGTATCTCTGCCTTGTGATCTTGGAGCAGCTCTAACTGATGGTGTTGTTCTTTGCCATTTGGCCAATCATGTGTGGCCTCGATCTGTCCCAAGTATTCACGTCCCCTCACCAGCTGTAGTAAGTTTATGATGTTAAAGAATGTTGGCTCTTTATCAGACATTTATTAAATACAGTGGCAGGCATTGTGCAGAATGCTAGAGATACAAACATGAATAGTGCCTGCCTTCATTTCAATTCTACTAGAGATAAAAAAAAAAAAGGCACATATGCCCTGGCCGGTTTGGCTCAGCGGTTAGAGCGTCGGCCTGCGGTCCAGAGAGACCCGGGTTCGGTTCCCGCTAGGGGCACGTACTTCGGTTGCAGTTTGTCCCCGGCCCTGGTTGGTCGTGCAGGTGGCAGCCAATCGATGTGTCCCTTTCACATCGATGTTTCTCTCTCTCTCTCTCTCTCTCCCTCTCTCTCCCTCCCACTCTATCTGTACAAAAAATGGAAAAATATCCTCGGGTGAGGATTAAAAAAAAAAAGGCACATAAACAGTGACTTCCAGCAGTGGTAGATGTTAGAAGAGAGGTGTGTAAGAGGTGTGCTGTAGGAGTACAAAAAAATGTACCACTTAATTCTGCCTGGATTGTTCAGGAAAGCCTTCCCAGAAGAGGTAAAATTACAGGAATTCTAGCACAGTATTCCTACATTTGAAAGATAAGGAAGATCATGGCACATTCAAGGAATTTGAAGTTGTTCAGAATAGATCGTGCACAATGTGTAGGTGCAGGTGGCAGGAGATGTAACTAGAGCGGCAAGCCAAAGGCCAGCACCTATTTTTGTAAAAAAGTTTTATTGGAACACATGCCCACTTATATATATTATATGTTACTTTCAGGCTATTAGCAGAATCAAGTGTTGCAACAGATCATATGGCTTTTAAAGTTAGCAACGTTTTTAAAACTTCCCAATAATACCACATTTTTCTTCCATTGCAGCCTAAATTAACAATGGCAAAATGCAGACGAAATGTGGAGAATTTTCTAGAAGCTTGCAGGAAAATTGGTGTACCTCAGGTAATAAATGTTTCATTTCTTATGTTGCCTAAATAGACGGGTATTATTTTCCTAAAATCTTTCAGAAATGCAAGTATCTATAACCTTAAAGGGCTAGCTCTGAACTGAGTTGATCATTACTAATACGATTTTGTGTTACTAGAGGCAATCCATATACTGTACTTTTTTTTTTTCTTGCCTTTATTGATTTTAGAGAGAGGGGAAGTGAGAGAGAGAGAGAGAAATATCCATGAGAGAACATCGATTGGCTGTCTCCTACATGCCCCCCACTGGGGATCAGGCCCACAACCTGGGCATGTGTCCTGACCAGGAATCAAACCGGCAACCTCTTGGTGCATGGGTCGACACTCAACCACTGAGCCACACCTGCCAGACATTATATACTGTACTTTTGAACAGTTTTCCTTAATTATTTCCAAGGACCAAGCAAAGAAATCACACACATATAAATTTTAAAATATTGTAATAACTAATGCTAAATAATCAAAAATACTTATTCGGATATTTTCCTAAACATTCCCACTTGCTCTATGACTTGTAATACATCTTTATACACAGTAGAGTCTGTGCTTCAGATTGAGAATGCTTCAGTGGATTTCAGGTTTTTTAACATTTGCTTTAATACTTATTTTATGTTTATTTTGAAATAATTTTAGACATATAGGAATGTTGCAAAAATACAACAGAGAGTTATGGTGTACACTTCACCCAGGTTCCTCTACTGTTAACATCTATGTAAACATAGTACGTTGTCCAGACTAACAAACCCTGGGACATTGCTGTTAACTAATTTCAGACTTTGTTCAGATTTCCCGTTTTCCCACAAAGCTCTTGTACTTTGGAATAGCACACAAGAGGCCATTTCTAGGCGCTTGTCCTGCTATTGAGATTTATTGCCTCCAGCCTCATCAGTTATAGCTTTATTGACCTTTAATAGTACAAAAACATTCAACGTTTTAGATGTGATTAAGGGACGTGAACTTGATACACTGCTTATTCATTTAACCTTTTAGAAAACAATTATGTTAAACCAACTAAGCATGGTAGTCTTAAGAAATGTTATATTTAATGAAATTAAATTTAAAGAAATAAATAACTTGGTAACATTTGATACTTTATTTCTTTAACAACAGCCATTACAGTTTCTGTCATTATATTTTGTCCAGCCTTCAAGGAGAAAAACATAATTCTTCTATCTCCTTAATTAGCTGTCAGAAACCCCAGTATTGGCCCCTGGACTCAACAATTCCACTATTTCTCTTGAAATTAAGCCCTCGTTCTAATAGCTTTCACAACAGTGACTCTTTTTATCCAGTTCACCGTTTCTGTCTCTTAATCATGACTTGAGAAAGTTACAGCATCACTTGTTCAATGAGCAATTTTCTCTTTCACATGTTGCAAAATGGAAGAAAAAGAGCCTGGCTCCATAGAGCACTCTAAGTCAGAGTGAATTCCCATGGTGTTTTTTTTCCTCCTTTTATTAAGCAGATCATGATTCTATTTACTTTTCACTTTTTCCTTTTGTGTGTGTTTTTTTTAAAGCTGAATTATAAAATAAAAGAATTAAAATTTACATTTAGTGGTAGTTAGCAAGGACCTCTATTGTTCCTATGAACAAATTTTTTAAGAATTTCTCATTTTTGTATTCTAAGTTTTCTAAAGGCTCCACACATCTCTTTAAAAAAATTTTTTTTCCTTTATTGATTTTAGAGAGAGGAAGTGAGAGGGAAAGAGAGATAGAAACATCAGTGAGGAAGAACATTGATTGGCTGCCTCCTGCATGCCCCCACTGGGGATCGGGCCTACAACATGGGCATGTGTCCTGACCAGGAATCCAACCAGCGACCTCTTGGTACATGGGTCGATGCTCAACCACTGAGCCACACCGGCCAGACTCAACATCTCTTTTAGAACAAACCATTTTTAAACATATTAAGGGAATATTAATAAGTTTTCTAAACAAATAGCATGTATTTTCTCCATATTAATAAGCAGGTTCTAATATTCATATGTACACATTAACATTCAGTGCTTCCCTTTTATCTACTGAAGATGTTCCTACCTGGTCATCACATTACACAAGCATGCCCAATACCTGCCCCACTTCCATACCACCATGTCTTAAACAAAAGAATGTGGCATGAGTTTGTGCAGGGAATGGCAACCAGAGAAAAGAGTCACTGAATACATAGAAGTACTGAAAACAGCAAAACATGTTAGCAGAACTAGCCTATGTCAGAACTAGCCTACTGTTTACCAGTGTTTATTGCCATGGTACCTGTACTCTGGGCTTTATGGAACCATCATCTCTCTCAGATTTAAAGTGCACGCACTGAAATTCTTTCAGAATGTACCTGCCATCAGTCAGCAAAATACAAAAACAGCCTTAAAGCATGCGTTTAATTCAGCATTAGCCAAGCAATAGTGAGCAGTATTAATTGTGGGCCAGCTTGCCACTATTCCTATCAGAGCTGTGCTATTGAAGGCAGGAGATAAAAAATAATATTATTTTTAAAGACTGGGTGGTTAGATGGGGGTTCTTGACACATCCTTCCCTCTTCTCTCTCTTCCCCACCAGAAAAGGGAAATGGACATTCCACATAGGCCACCTCTTCCTCTCCTCAGCCTTCCACTCTCATCTCTACCACCACAGCCACCACCACCACCACTGTTAGATGGGTTCCTGTTATGCTGCTACTTCGAAAAAATTAGTCATTAGCTTAGAACAAAGTGAAGGAAACTCGTAGGTTCAGACTAGCATTCTCAGGTCCCTCTGCTATAGGAGGAAAGAGAAAACCTATGCCTCTTCTTATTCCTTTGTCCTCCCAGCTTCTGGGCATTCTGAATTACCTGAACATCCCCACTTAATCTGTTTGACTTACAAAGAAAATCAGGGATGTAAAAATGATCACTTTCAAAATTGTGTAAATATTAATATCAGATTCTGTGTATAAAGGCAAATAATTTTCCTTCTTAGTATAACTTTTAAAGTGTTTACCATGTAAGTTTAAGAATGAAATATTAATAAGGTGTCTATTTAAAACCTCTGATAAGATTAGGTATATGGGTATTCTCTTTATTATTATGCTTTTGTTAAATATATGTTACATTGGAAAAACTATTGTGGGTGATAAAAATTTCTGTGAATTCTATATCTTATGCCTTAAAATTATTACAAGTTATGTGTTGATATTTTCCCACTATCAAGTCCAATGATGTATTTATTTATTTAATTTCATCATCCTTGAACGGGGGGGTTGGGTGAGCTCTGAGGCCCTGTGGTGTAGATTCATTTTGTATATATAGTGGACTGGACTTGGTTAAGATGGGCTTGCCTTGATTTTCAGAGGAACACGAGATCATTCGGTACACTTGACTTCCAGCTAGTAAATTTATCTGATTATTAAGCTTTCCTCCTTTTTTGAACCTTCTCGATTTACTTAGCTTTCTCTAAAAACTTCCCTCTCCTCAGTTTGCCCCCCATGTTTTGTCCTTGCTTTCTGACCTATTTTTTTTGTTAATAAGGAAGAATGAGAGTCAAGAAAGACTTCACCACTCTCAGGCCTCTCACAACCCTCAGCCAGCATCCAGTTCTGTTCATTGTATCCAGAATGTTCACAGTAGTCACCGACCAGCCAGTTTTATTCTGCTATTTTGTAGTAAAATCAAGCTCAGCAGAGAGAATTCTCTGTAGTTTTGTTTTTCAGCATTTTACTTTTATTCATCACAGTAAAAAATGTTACAAGATGTGTTTCAGTGAATATGATTGAGATGATCATATTGAATTCTATACTCAAATCTGTATTTCTGATCCACTGACTTTGTTTTTCTGTTTCCTTTCCTGCTCACACTTTGGACAGGACAATCTTTGTTCCCCTTCTGACATCCTTCAGCTAAACCTCAGCGTTAAAAGAACTGTTGAAACACTACTTTCTCTTGGGGCACATTCAGAAGAATCCAGTTTTGTCTCTCTGTCTATCCAGCTTTTGGGTTTTGTGGCATTTTATTGTACTTTAATGTTAACTCTCTGTATGCTTTATTATTGGACCTTTCCCCTCTAGCAGAAAGATTGCATTCCAGTGGTTTTTCACCTCATTCCTGGGCTTGGTAAAGGAGGTTTGTTTCTTGTTCAGAAATATTTACATATGTGCATTTTATTTTCCTGGCTATCAAAGAGCTAACCCTTAAAGTAAATAAATCCTTCCTTATATGTCCAGATGAGCAGCCCATCACATTAGTCAGTAAGCATTTACAGGGACTAACAAAGAGTAAAATCCAGCATTTTTTCTCCTAGTCATTCGTCCATTCTCCTGGCCTGTGGTCCTGTTTCTGTTAAGTGCCAAAGCATTTCTACTAATACAATCCTGAGCCTGTTCTTAGAATATGACTAAGAATTTTATTTCCAAATGACATAATAAAATTCCCTTCTGGCCATTTTTCCAGGCCTGAACACAACTTAGCTGTTGCAGTTGTAAGTTGCTGAATCTTTTCAACAGGATCTTTTCAAAAGGAAATCTTTTCAAAAGGAAAATAGTTGTACCCTTTCTAGTTTAGGGGGCAGTAGTCACTTAAATCTCTGCATTGAACTGTGCCCTGAAATCTCCCTTTTAGCTGTCTGGGCATCTGGAAGGCACTAGTTATTTAATCTTAATACTTTTAATTTGATCAGAATGTTCAGTCCAAAGATCATGTTCTTTTTTTTTTATCCTCACCCGAGGACATTTTTTGTTGCATGTATCTTCAAATAGAATGGGAGGGAGAGAGGGAGGAAGAGAGAGAGAGAAACATCAGTGTGAGAGAGACACATTGAGTGGTTGCCACCCACACGACCCCAACTGGGGCCGGGGACAAACTGCAACCAAGGTACGTGCCCTTAGCAGGAACTGAACCCAGGACTCTCTGGTCCATGGACCGATGCTCTAACCACTGAGCAAAACTGGCCAGGGCAATCATGTAGGTTCTTTAGATTGCTATTCTGAGCCTAGTGTGTACATTTAAAATAGTACACAACAAGCAAATGATCTGGAGCTGACTTTGCAGGAGTAGGCACTTTTCCAGATTTACTATGTATTTATATTTAAATGAATTTCACTTCTAGAATCCTATTGAGAATTTAAAATTGGAATGTATATAATTCCCAAAAATTTGATCCTTCTTAATAGGTGAGTTTGTATTTTATAGGTTGTCGAGATTATATCTGAACAGTAGCATGTAAAGTATTAGGCAGTCGCTGTTCTATACCCAAGGCAATGAATATTGTTGCTTTCAGAATGCTTATTAGTATATTAGCTGCTAGCCTTAATGCTTGAAACTACTTTATAATTGCAGATTCTAGTTCTCATAAATAGTATTTCCAAACATTCAGGAATCTCCTGAACTCTTAACAAAATTAACTGAACTAAAGTATGAAGGGAGATTGCAAGGAATATAATATCCTGTTGTAGAAGTCCACCTGAAGGTTTGATTCCTTTCATTTTCTTCCATATTAAATGAGACAGTTACCACATTAAAAACTGTTTACTGTTCGTGCTGAAATATTGAACACTGTGTTGAAAACTTTAGTTTTTTACAGTAGTAGTGCATTCCAGAGTTGGGGTGAGTGTGGTAAGATTTTTCTGAGTCAGACATCATTCAGTTTTGTGGAGTTTTGTCCCTTTAAAATAACACCTGATAAAAAGCACATTGTCTCCTGTGTGGTTTGCGGGGGCGATTGTGCACTCTTTTTGGAACACACAGGTTCTGTAAGCCATCTGGAAAGTATCGCCTCTGAGGACGTGTCTCAGTCAAGGCCGCACAAGCTGCAGGGGACTGCTGAGAAGAGATGAGGGAATTGCCTTGGAGAAAATAGGTCTCTCCCAAGAGCAAAACACCCTGAAGGTTCATTTTAAGTATAGTTAACCTATACTTATACAAAGTTGATAGTTTTACAAGCGCAAAAGATTCCAGTTACCTTGTTTTACTAGATACCTTTTTTTTAAAAAACAAGTATAAGGACCAGCCCTGGCCGGTTTGGCTCAGCAGTTAGAGCATCAGCCTCCAGTTCAAAGAGACCCAGGTTCGGTTCCCACTAAGGGCGTGTGCGTACCTCAGTTGCAGATTGTTCCCAGCCCTGGATGCGTCGTGCGGATGGCAACCACTCAATGTGTCCTTTTCACGTCGATGTTTCTCTCTCTCTTCCTCCCACTCTATCTGAACAGAAAATGGAAAAATGTCCTTGGATGAGGGTAAAAACAAAAAAAGAAGTATAAGGACCAATAACTGCTCAAAATCAATACTTGCTATATTTTTTTATTGCAACTGATTTTGTAAAATTTCCTAATATAGTGCCAATTAAAAGCAGGGAAAGCCCCATAATAAATATGTGGTTGTTTTTTTGTGTTTTTTTTTTTTTTTTTTAATGAAACCAGAATTCTCTCATCCTTTGTGAGAGCAGTCTCTTTTCTTTCTGAATATTTAGTCTTAAGAGAAACCAACCAATGATGGGTTATTATTTTTTTTTTTTTCAATTTTTTTCTTCTTTATTGATATTAGAAAGGGAGAGGAAGAGAGAGATAGAAACATCAATGAGAGAGAACATTAATGGCCACCACCTGCATGCCCCCCACTGGGGATCAGGCCTACAACTTGGGCATGTGCCCTGACCAAGAATCCAACTGGCAACCTCTTGGTGCATGGGTTGATACTCAACCACTGAGACACACTGGCTAGGCTAATGGGTGTTATTCTTAACATAAGCCTTTTTCTCTTAAAAGAAAGGATTAACCAAATTAATGAGTCAAACAAGATGGAAGTATTTAATTTCCTTAAGCAAACATGTAAATAGTTTTTAAATATATGGTAATTTTTATTTCTGACTACGCTCACGTCCTAATTCTCCAGCATAATTTAATCCACTAAATACGAGAAGGATACTTTTACTTTTTCCAATAAAATTTCTTTATTAAAGGTCCAGGGAAGTCCACCATTTTTAAAAATTGAGAAAGAGAGAAACATCAATTGGTTGCTGATCGCACGTGACCTGACCTGGAATCCAACCCAGAAACTGGGTATGTGCCCTGACCAGAAATCAAACCACCTTTTGGTGTATGGGATGAAGCTCCAACAAACTGAACCACACCGGACAGGGCTCAAATACAGTTTCTTTTTTCATAATTCAGAATTTTAACTAATTCAAACTGGGCCTTCCATGAATTACCCAAAGTAGGAGAAAGTTTCTCAAATACATCCAAATCTCAAGGATACACTTCAGTTTCTTCCCATGATCCCTGCCTGGTATGAGAGCCCTGGCTTTTACAATCAGGCTGTAATGCAGATAGCAGGCAACCCTCTCCAGTGCAGTCTGAGTGATGGTATGAACAGTCCTGCATTCCTCCAGTATGTAGTTTACCAAGTGCTTTCTCCTACAATTTTATATCTTTCAGGCTTGAGCCATCCAGTATAACTTGTAATTTTTTCTGTTTTCTGATCTGCATTGTTCTTTTATTTATCAGGGATGAAGGATGTTGCTTTCACTCCATAATATTCTGTTTATCCTCTGTTGTTTGTATAAGTGTATGTAACTTGTCCATTTTCCATTTTCCAAAATGATCTGTATGTACTTTTACTTGTGTTAATAAAATGATAGTGTCAGATATCATCTCTGTGTACCTCATATTATCAGAGGTCAGTTTCCAACGTACTGACTTTTCATATCTCAGTTGATTATTATAAGAGAGAGAAGAGATGCTTATTTTTTTTCTTTTCGGTTCTGTGATATTCATCCTATTTTCTCTTGTGTTTGTTTTTATGTCACGTTATCCCATTTCAGGAGCAATTATGTTTGCCTCTCCACATTTTAGAAGAGAAAGGTTTGAGCCAGGTTGCAGTGACGGTCCAGGCTCTCCTGGAACTCGCTCCACCCAAGCAGCAGCAGCACCAGTTATCTGCTGTTTAAGGGCTCCCAGCACGCTGGGCACTGGCCTGGCCAGAACGGAACAGAACAACGCGATCGCTGCTGCCAGCCGCCTACTTCAACGCGCTCGTATGTGTTCTTATAGGGGACTGTTTCCATGATTCCTCACAGGAATATTTCACTTCATTTCTCCATTTTAGGGGAGGTTATGTCCATTTCCATTGAACACGTGGTTAGTTTTCACAAATGAAATGCAATCCTATCATTACTGAGAACCAACACTGAAGCCTAACCTGGCTGTGCTTTCCTAGAGTGTAGGCTCTTTTTCACATGCCAGAAAGTGTCTTCGCAGAGGATGCTGAACTCTCTTGAAGGCACAGATATGCTATTATCTTTACCTATTTCCAAGACCTCTCGAGTCCACTGGTTTCTAAACTTGGTGTTCAATAGAATCTCCTGGAGCATTTGTTAAAATACAGGTTCTCGTTCAGTAGGGTCTAGAATGAGGCCTGGGTATCTGCATTTTCAACAGACATTCCAGGTGTTTTCTATAATGGATGGAGACCACTGTTCCCAGCTAGATATTTGTATGATTTGGAGGAGTAATGACTCCACTGTGTTTTTCAGCCACATTTAAAATCAAAAGCTCTATTATAACTACTTGGAACTGTTCTGTCCAAGGCAAAACAAATAACATAGGACTGGGTTTTTTGGACAAAAATCTTTTGTCCTTTGCAAAACAGAAACAATGTAGAAGTCCTAGATTTTGCATGGTAAAACAGAAACAGATAGAGTTGCATTTAAGGCCAGTGTCCTAGGCCTAACCCCCAATTTCAGCCTACCACCACTTGTAGGGATGGGGAACCTTGTTTCTGCCAAGGGCTATTTGGATATTTATAACATCATTCACGGGCCATACAAAATTATTAACTTAAAATAGTGAGGCGTGTGATGTTAGCTAGTATTGATTTCAAGGGCCTTATATGGCCCAGGGGCTGGATGTTCCCCACCCCTGAGTCTCAGAGGATGGTTCCAGATCTCAGGCTGGTAACATGCACTATTCAGCATCATTTGCATCGACTTCATTGAGCTTCCCCCATGCTGCTCCCAAGATACCTGGGGCTGCCAACACCTTCCAGTCAGCAGTATACTTCCAGCTTCCCAACTAATGGAAAACTATGAAAACAAGGCAAAAGAAATAAAGGAAAAGCCAAGAGTCTTATATTTCTTTCAGGTGACTACCAGTTCCCATGACTGATTTAAAGCACTTGTAGTGTCTTAGCAGCTTGCTGTCTTCATCTGGCTCCACCATTAGAGTGTGTTCACTCAGTTGTGTGGAGCAAAAGGGCCCAAGATTTCCCGCAACACAAAGCTAGGAGCCTTTACCTAAGCCACTTGGGGGAAAAAAGGTTAAGCCTATTGGATCTTCCTTCCCTATATTTTGAACCCTTTTTAGTTGTCAGTGATAGGTTTTGATCATTGCCTTTATAAACCAAGTAAATAGAACAAGTGAAGATACTAATTATCTAGGCTGTTATGTTGTTAACTGTTCTGGGCTTTACCAATGCATGCATTTGAGCATACTGTTCTCACTTTTTGTATCATGTAAATGCAGCATTTAAAAGTAACTTTGTATAAAATCATGTGTTGAGTATTTAGTCAAAATAATGTTTTCTACTTGTTCTCACAAGGAAACAAGTTCATCAGAACATTACCGCTTTGTCCAAGTTTAAAATTACATAACACAGAACATTACACTCAAAGCCCAATGCTTATGGTCCTCACAGAACAAAAGTAAAATGTCTTTTAAGTGCTTAGAGCCAGACACAGCTCCAGACACACCCACCAATCATATGACTTGTTTAGAATTTAGCTATGTGTACTTTTAAACTATAGGTATTTTCCCTTCCAGTCAACATTGAACCTCGGAACTATCTCCAAATTATAGAGAGCCATTTAAATGAAACTTAGCAAAGGATGGGACTCTTTGTGACATATTATGCAAGGAATAATTCCAGAAAACATACATAATGCAACATTTGGAACATTTGCAACTAATTTTCCCAGAGGAATAAATGGAAATTCCAGTTTATTTCAAATTTTACACATAGCATGAAACCTTATTAATGTATTTTTATCACACAAATTCAAATTTACATTTGAATTGTTAGAAAAAATTAGTGTACAGTTTTGGTTGATAATGAAAGGAAAATATCAAATATTTTGAATTTCTATGTCAAGATGCGAAAACAAATCATGATTTTTTTGTTGGAAATTTTTTTGTATTTAGTGTTTTATAGTACCTTTGGGGTTTTTGTTTGTTTTTTCTTTATTGAGGTATAATTTACATGTCACAAAATTCAGTTGCTTTTAGTAATGTACAAATTTTTTAAGTTGTACCTTTGTTTTTTTTAACTGAAAAGACAGTTTAACGTTTAGCCTTAATAGACTCGAATGTGAGATGAAGATGACTTTGTAACACTTGCACCTAACCATGACCTTTATTTATGACCTTCCTGCTGAGGCAGCAGCCTTCCCAGTGCTGAAGCGTGAGGGAAGAAAAGGCTGTGCCCACCCACCAGGGTCCCTGCCAGCTATAGAGACTGTAGTCAGCAGGTTTCTGAGTTTCCAAACTCATACATGCTTAGCACTCCAAACCATTTTCTTTGGAAACAACTCATGGGAGGAGGGACCTTTGTATTTGGCTAGAACAGAGTAGGAGGTTTACTGTAGGTCACTTTACTTTAATAACTTTGAAATACAGCCTTACAGGTAACCAAGGAGTCTGATTTCTCTTACTTGCTGTAGCTCAGCAGTGACTAATGAGGTGTGACTGTGCTGATGAGTGTGATGAATTTTTTAAAACTAAGCACTTAAATGGTTATAGAAATGAAGGAAAACATGGATATTTAGAAGCCTTTTTATATACATATTGCAGTGAGATGGTTTACAGCAGATTTCATTTTATTTCTGAAAATGTTGTAAACTTGTAATTAGTAAAAAATTTTGTGAAACGTCCTATATTTGTATGTCTGTAAATATGATGCATAAGTTTTAAGTATAAATATGTCAATATCATGTATGTTATTTTAAATTCCTGTATGCCACCTTAAACTTTCACATTAAAATAAAAGTCAACACTTCAATAGCATGAAATAAAGGCTGATTTGATATGTTTTTACCCAAAACATGATTTCCTTGGCAAAAATGAAGGAGTATCTAATTTCCCAAAGGAACATTAGATCAGGAGAAACTGGGTCCTCATAATAAGCCCTTGAAATCAAAATGTACTTTTTTTATTTTATTTTATTTTATTTTTTTAATCCTCACCCGAGGACATTTTCCCATTTTTTTGTTCAGGTAGAGTGGGAGGGAGAGAGAAGAACAGAGAGAGAGAGAGAAACATCGATGTGAAAGGAACACATCGAGTGGCTGCCACCCGCACGACCGACCAGGGCCGGGGACAAACTGCAACCGAGGTACATGCCCTTAGCGGGAACCGAACCCGGGTCTCTCAGGACCGCAGGCCGACGCTCTAACCGCTGAGCTGAACTGGCCAGGGCAAAAATGTACTTTTTAAAGGCAGTATGGATATCAGTAGTGCCCTGTGTTTTGAGTTAGATAATAAGACATATTTAGTATTACATGAAATATATGTGACACTTCTGGACAATTTTTTTCAGAAACTACTAGTTGTGCCATCAGGAAAGCTTTAGCATCCCAAGACATTCTGTTTTGATTAAGCAAAGCACAGATGACCCAGTGAGCGCATTCTTTTTTAGAGGTAGAGGGAGAATGACCAACAATCAGTTTTATGTTCCAGGCACAGCTTAGGTACTTTCACATGCTTTGTCTCTTTTAGACTGAATACCCTATAAGGCAAAAATTGTTGCGTAAGCAAAGTAGGTGTAGACCCTAGTGTCTCATTTATCAAAAAATATCTCTAGCCCTGGCCGGTTTGGCTCAGCCGTTAGAGCGTCGGCCCGCGGACCAGAGAGGCCTGGGTTCAGTTCCCACTAAGGGTGCATACCTTGGTTGCGGTTTGTCCCCAGCCCTGGTTGGGGTTGTGTGGGTGGCAGCCACTCAGTGTGTTTCTCTCACATCGATGTTGCTCTCTTCCTCTCTCCCTCCTGCTCTATCTGAAGATGAATGCAGGGATGTCCTCAGGTGAGGATAAAAAAAGAAGAAAAAAAAAGCCCTGGCCTGTTTGGCTCAGTGGCTGGAGCGTCGGCCTGCGGACCAGAGAGTCCTGGGTTCGGTTCCGCTAGGGGCATGTACCAAAAATAGAGAGAGAGGGAAAAAAAAATCTCCATACGAGTCTTCCAGCAGACCTGTCTGTGTCCCCCATCTTTACCATGTGTGGGTTATCCTAACACCTCATTTCTATGTTGTATTTATAATTTATATCCTTACCTATTTCCCAGAAAAAGGAGCTGAAGCAGCTTATAAGATATGTATTTGATGCCACCACCAACCCCCAATAAAAACACTAAAATTATAAAAAATCGAAAAGGTGCCCTGGCCAGTTTGGCTCAGCGGTTAGAGCGTCGGCCTGCGGTCCGAAGAGACCCGGGTTCAGTTCCCGCTAAGGGCACGTATTTCGGTTGCAGTTTGTCCCCGGCCCTGGTTGGTCGTGCGGGTGGCAGACACTCAATGTGTCCCTTCACGTCGATGTTTCTCTCTCTCTCCCTTCCTCTCTCTCCCTCCCACTCTATCTGTACAAAAAATGGAAAAATATCCTCGGGTGAGGATTAAAAAAAAAAAAAAAATTGAAAAGGCAGGAGGGAACCAACCTTTAATAAAACTTCACTATACGTGTGTGTGTGTGTGTGTGTGTGTATATTTTTTTAATATGTTTTTATTGAATTTTTAGAGAGGAAGGGGGAGAGAGAGAGAAACATTGATATGAGAGAGAAACATCCATCAGCTGCCTCCCGCACACCCCCTACTGAGGATCGAGCCGCAACCAGGAATCTAACCGGGACCTTTCAGTCCATGGGACGACACAATCCATTGAGCCACGCTGGCCGGACACTGCATATGTATATTATGCTGGACACTTTATAAACATCATCTTTTACTTTCTACTGAACTCTTCGCTTTTGCTCATAAGAGTTCACTGTTGACCATTTGAATAAAATCAGAACCAGAGATGTATTACAGAAATTACTAGAGTTTTAATGCATTACTGTAACTAAGCCCATGCATTTTTTCTGCTAAGAAAGAACAACAGGAATCTTTCCAAAGCTCCTAGAAATATTTTCCAGCAAATTTTTTTCAAAATATGAAGAAGCCCTTAAAGAAGCTATAGTCCTAATTCAGGGTTTGGAAACTAATATAACAGGCAACGTGAAATAATCAGGTCACACCTGGGAATGTCCGAATAAGCAACTACCTGTAAATGAGTTGTCTGGTGGTAATAGATGTTTCTTATTCCCTTCAAGTCCTTCCCATCTCCAGAATACAAGAGGAAGAAGAAGAAGATACTTGGTCACTATCTCTTGCCTCTCCGCTTGTCTTTGTCTTTGCCTTTACCTTTTGAACCCTTGCTAGCATCATTGTCCTTCTTAGGCAGTTTGAAACCACCGATTTCATTCCGCACTATAATGCCTCGCCACCAGGCCTGGAGCTGGAAGAGAGAGGAGTGAGTACAACCTCGAGCATGCCTGACAGGTGGCATTCTTTCCACATACGGGACTGGGTTTCGATAAGTAAACTCTATCCAAGCAGCAGGCTGAGACACGGGCGTGGCCGAGCATGCTCTGTCTACAGCAGTGCCTCCAGGTGTGCAGGACCCAGAGCTTAAGCCATGGACTCTAATGCTCTCAAGGAGTAAAAATAAGAGGAATCTTTATTTTACACTTAGAAACCTGACTAGCACTCTTTACAAACATCCTTTCCCATATCTAAAAAACATTTGACCCAAGAGGAGTGTTAGTTACCTGGGTCACAGGCAAAAGGAAGCACTCAAGTCAAAACGTGCAGATAATCTAGATGAGTTCAGTAGACTTTTCAGGTGCCTTTCATATCTTTAATGATTGACTAAAGGATCAATACTCTTACTTTCAAAAAGTAAGCTTTAGATGATAGCCCCTTGAATATCTTAGTCATTAGACACAACTGTTCTGAATACAGTCTGGAAGCAAATACAGTAGCAAAAAGAAAACAAGGTGTTCTGCTAGTTCTTAGGTTTTTGCTTTCAGTCAAGGAATCCTGACAAATAGAAAACACCATAGAGGCTCAATAAATACTTGCTAACTGTACATGTCTCTCCTAATGGAAAGCTCAAGTTTGGATTTGGTTACCTGGTCACAGATATACTTTAAGCTTACTTTCTTAATCCACTCCCTAATATACATTCAAACTCCACTCTGCATACTGTTCCATCTCCGCAGGTACTCCTCTTTCAGAGACCAGGGCAGTCCTCAAGACAACAGTTTCAGTGCAGCTGATTTTTGCTTGATATTTCCCCGAATCTGACATGCCAGTTAAATCGTCACTATTATACAGAAGTTCACTTAAAACTAAAACATGCCCTGGCCGGTTTGGCTCAGCGGTTAGAGCGTCCACCTGCGGTCCAGAGAGACCCGGGTTCGGTTCCTGCTAAGGGCATGTACCTCGGTTGCAGTTTGTCCCCGGCCCTGGTTGGTCGTGCGGGTGGCAGCCACTCGATGTGTCCCTTTCACACCGATGTTTCCCTCTCTCCCTCCCTTCCTCTCTCTCCCTCCCACTCTGTCTGTACAAAAATGGAAAAATGTCCTCGGGTGAGGATAAAAAAAAAACAAAAACAACTAAAACATCTGTTTTTTCCTAAACATATCCCCTCTACCATTTTTGAAAATGGCTCTCATCAGAAGCTGGAAGATAGCCTGGGCTGACTTAGAAGAGGAATCTTCAGGAGCAGCAGGATACTAGAACTCCTTCAAGAGCTGCTTTGGTTAGAAATAGTATCCTTAAATTTGACCTCTAGGCATAAATTCTAGGTTTTGCTTCCACTGCCAGCCACCTCCTTTTCCCTGGATTAAATCTTGGGGGCCTGTCTTTTTCTGTTAACTGTCTCCCTGCACCATGGACTGTTGGCAAATTCTAATAATAACAAAGG